TATTAATAAGTCACTTAGTGTATTACAGGCTGAACAGACTAATCCTTACTCTGATTTATTTCACAAGTCATGTACTTTGTGAGAAAAGAACAGCTCACAAAATATTTTATACATTGAAATACCACTTTTTTCAAAACAGTTTTTCAGCTTTTATAACAATAAATTTCTTAAACAGGGCGTGACATTAACACTTGTCCATTTGTTTGTACCAGTGAAAATTTTTTGACGGACAAGTGAATATTGATGGGCATTTTGCGGATTAGAGAAGTGATTTTTCTTTTCTCTGAATATTTTTTTTAAAGTTGAAAATGAAAAATTAAAATCTATTTCTTAACTGAATTTCAATTTCTGAATCAATAACTTCATCAAAGTGCCCAGCTGTAACAACGGCATTTTTCATGAACTCATTTGTGCCAGCTACTGTAAAAGACTAGAATACACTACTAACACATATTACTGCCACATACTTTCATGGGGGGGGGGGGGGGTAATTTTCATTGTTTTCATGATATGGAGAGACCCACAAATTCATGTCCATCACAAAATATAAAATTCCATATACATAATTTATTATTACTCAAGAATTCTCCATGGTGAAATCAAATCCCCCAAAACAAACCTCAAAATTTGACCCCATGAAAATAAACGATTTCACAGTATCAACTATAAAACTACAGAACAGTTTAAAGTTGCAATTATGACCCAAATAACTTGAAGTTTAATTGCACTCACTCATCCTGGATAAATATTGATCAGAAGTGATCTAATTTCCAGTTTTCATACAGATACAGAATCGCATAAAGTGCCTAAATAGTTGACTTTGAACTTGACCAGAATTATGAACTTTGATCATGGTCGTCAAAATTGATTCAAATCAACATTCACTGTGAAGACACATTTGGTTTTGAACTTCAATCAGTTGCATGGATCTGACCGACGAAGTCTGCATTTTTAGTATCGGTAAGAAAGCCATTAAAAAAGACAAGGTTAATAATATTAAGCATTGGGAGAAGAAGGCAAATAAACACTTGATGATCATGTTGACATACATTAATTTCAACCTTTATCATGTTAATTGCTATTTTTCTATTAGGCCAGAGTTTTTTATTTTCTGTTTAACGGGAATTTTTAAGAAAAAGTCGGGTCGAGGGGATGAAATAAAATAAAAATAAAAAGTTCAAAATTTGTCGAGTTGAGACCATATAAAAAATAAAACCCAAAAATGGTATGATTTTTTTTTTTATAGAATGTTGAAAAATGAAAGAAAACACAATAAAATTTTGTTTATCATTTATTTGGATTTCAAATATGGATAAAAAGATACAACTCCTAACTATATGCATGTGTCATCCTACTGTGGTTAATTACATTTGTAAATTCTAGTATGAAAGCAAAACAATAAAATTTACAGTTTAAATTATTATACAGCAACAATAATGTTGGATACAGAAAAATCCACACTGCTTAAAAATTTATAGATGTCTTCGTTTGGTCATCTCCTACTGTATAAAATTCATAAAAGTAATGATAAAAAATGTTTTAAGCTACATATATTATGATTAAACAGAAGTTTGGAGAAAGATATGGGGTTGATAGCTAACTTGACAATGCATTCCTAGTATAGGACTAACACATTCTTGAGGTTCAGAATGGAAATTTGTCAGCTGAAATTATTTGACGAACAACAGCAGTCATCTTGGAAGTCTTCTGAACTCTTCACAAATGGTTGGGTCTCCACCAAGAAATCAAACTGCACAAAAAATGCATTGTTCCTTAAAGATACTTTATTAATATAACCAAATACATGTAGTAGTTAGAAAGTAGAAGATAAAAAACAGTATTTATATGAGATTATTTTCTTTTCTAAATGAAGATACAAAACATTTTTTAAGAGTTTTTGATAATAAAACATTTCTTATATTATAAATATAATAATTTTGGTTTTTGTTCAATTTGCATTTAAAATATTAAATTGGACAATTTGTCGACTTAATTCTTTCTATCTCTACCTTTCCACAGGATAATGGTGTGCAATTCCAATTAGCTGTCACTTGTCAGTGTTAGTTTTAAATATTCTTTTCCAATCGTAATTTTGTTGGAATCCTGACCTCATTTAATTCAACCAAGCAGACATGGACTTGTATCTAAAATATTTTAATTGTAATTTTATGTCCCTGATATAGTTAAACATAATTCATTGTACAACTAAATTTTACCGCGAATTTTACCTCAATTTGTTATGTGATCAAATTAAATATACAATGTAAACATCTTTAAAAGAAACAAAAAACGTATCAAAAAATGTTAACCATCGAACAATTTTAACAGAAAGTTTATTAAGACGTCAAAAAACTTACCCCCAACTCTTTAGACACAAGATGGTTCAGTGTGCATCTAGTGTATTTAGGTTGTTGATGCATTCATTCCGATTTCAGAATCTTTTTTCTCTTTATCGTCAATGGATTTAATATTACTATCTCGTCATTTTTATCTATAAATGTCTCGAAATGGCATTTTTGCTTGTTGATCTGTTGATAGAACCCGCGAAAAGTGCGATAAACTAGTTCTTTAAACTGGTTACCATATCATAATCAGCAAGACGCTCGTACAAGAATTTGATTAACGTAAGCTATGTCAAACGTTTACATGATTTATTAAAATTATGGTGTACAACAAACCCGATTTTATTTCAAACCGTCAATAAATGACACAGTCGGCGGGTATTTTAAAAATAAAAGTGAGATGGACCTCTTTTATTTTTTTTCGGTATTTTGAAAAAATTGGGTCGGCGCTTCCCGTTAAACAGAAAATAAGAAAACTCTAGCCTTATTATTAAATTTAGCATCAATTGCTTATGTAGGACAGAATGATACAATTATAGTTTCATAACTTAATTGCTATATGTGTCAAAAATTAAAACAGACTCAGGGAATATAAAATAGACTCTAATTTGATTACAAATTAAATGTATTTTCAAGTTGTCCAATAGTTCTTTTTTGAAAACTTTTTGGACAAGTAAAAATTATGTTCAGACTAGTAAATTTCCCATGCCACTTGTCTGCAAGGACAAGTAAGAAAAAACATTAATGTCCTATCAAAATAAATTAATATATCACAAATATTTTTGTGGAGTCTTTTTGCATCCGTGCATGTACTGATCCTGAATCTCTCTTGCTTCTAACATTTATTAAATTACATCAAAATAAAAATATGCCAAGTGGAACACTTCAAATAGGTGGGGGTTGGGGGTCATGTGATGGATGAAAATCTTTAAAAAAAATTAACTTCATGTATATGGGCTAAATGTTCGGAAAATATTATATTATTAACCCTATGCAAAAACCTTTCCAATATTATATAATATATACATGCATTTTGGCACACCATAAATTTCTCAACCCGGAATATAAAACCAAAGGCTGGTAAAGCTGTGAAAGTATTACAATGCATAACTAAATGATACACAACCCCTTCTTGTTCATGCAACAAAGGAAAGGCAAATGGCTAAAACCATACAAACTAAATTTGTCGTGTTACATTCAGCATGTTCTGCAGTGCCCCATTCACTGATATTTGAGAGATGTTTACATTTATATATGTATCTTTTTGGGGGAAGTAAGAGTGATTATCCCCTCCTAAATTTATCAGAAATACCTTAGACGTTGTTAGATTTGTTGTAGGCCTATAGGTCTGTTGGTGACAGTCTACTAGTACTAGCCGGCCCAGTGGTAACTTGTATTTTACGTAAAACTAACACGTAAATAACGACATACTTTAGGAGTAAAAGCGGTACAAAGCTTACAAGTCTTTACAACTGACCATGATTCACTAGAGAGTTGTAACTAAAACCACACCTACCATATTTCTGCACCACCCGATGTTTACAAAGTTCTGTACTTGATCGTGATTTACCACCTGTTGAATTTCCTGTTTAATTTTTCCACCTCCACTTACAAAAGAGTGTTTCCGCGGGAAATTTGATTTTTTGATAATCCAAGCATTTTTCTGTACCCGAGCTGATGACACATTAAATAAAGAAATTGGTCACATATATATTTGTAAAGAAGATTTTTTATATTAAATCTTGTCAACATAATTCAATAACACCGTTATATACAGAGAAAGGGGTAAAGGATGCCGTAGCCTAGTGGTTGTGCCACTAGGTCAGGGTTGTATTCCTGGTCCCGGAGCCATTTTTATCCCAAATGTAAAGCTACCCCCCCCCCCTCCCAAGAGACTCAAGGTCCTTTAGATTTTCATAAATAATTCATCTTTTTACACATAATATATTTGGGTGCATATTTGTCAAAGGCGGATCCACTGAGGACCGGCGCGCCGGGCGCAGCTCCCCCCCCCCCCTTTTGAATTTTTTGTATGTAGAACTTATATGTCCATTATCCTAAAATCAATGAAAAAACATCTCTTATTTGTATGAATTCGTCAGCTTCAGGGGGCTTCGCCCCCGGACACCCACCAGGGCTTTGCCCTAGACCCAATGGGTGCTTCAATGCAGCCCCAGACCCCCCCCCCCCCCCCCCTTGCCTTCTACTCCCCCCCCCCCCCGTTATGAAATTCCTGGATCTGCCACTGTTTGTGATATAATTCATACCACTAGGTCCGAAAATTTGCCTACAAAATATTTTATTTAAAAATTAAAATCCTATCCAACTATTACTACTGATAAAACAACTAACGTCAGTTAAGGAAATAGTTGACTAAACATAAAAATGGACAGCAGAACTGTAAATATGGCAATGTAAACGTTGGTGTATTTTTCGAGACTTTTGTGATGAGTTAGGTTTCGCAAAATTTATGCAATGATTTTGAAAAGATAAATAACAGACCAACACATTTTCTGAAAAAAAAAAATAAACTCATGCACACGTTCTGTTACATAGATATCGCGAAATTTTATCCCTTGAAAATATGAAAGTTTTGCTATTCTCATTTAGCCGTATTTTAACGTCGATTTGACGTCATAATGACGTCATGTTTTCAAAATGGCTAAATTGTCGATAGTTACTCCTATTCTAAATTTTATTATTTTGTTATTCCAGCGTGAAACAGGTATGTAATGTCTTGTGTTTTTAATTTTCTTTACCGGTATGATTTTACTTTCCAACTTGAGAAAGCTGTTTTAAAAAAGACCTATACAATTTCATTGAATTTAAATTTTTTACATTGTAATAGACATTTTCATTGAGGCACTTGATAAATAAAAAATCGAGACTATATACATGTAATAGTAATGTTATTATTATATGGACTTTTTTCTCTAATTTATGGAGAGAAGCATCCTCACAACGTCAAGGATCCTGAGTCAACACGTTGCCGTTGGGCCCCTGGCAGATTTCATTCGATATCTTCGGGCCTGCTTCTCCCGGTGAGAAGTAGACAGATAATGTAAATAGAAAGGAATTTCTTGACACTAAGATGTACGTGTTACGCATGGTTTATCACCGAAAGATGATTGGTTGAGAGATAAGAAAAACAATCAAGATTTGTTATATTTTCCCGAGACACGTCGCTGCAGTCAGCCCGCAAGATATCGACTGAAATTTGTCAGGGGTCCAACGGCAACGTGTTGACTCAGAACCCCTAACGTTGTGAGGAGGAGGGGGGTGTAAAACGTCGAGTACCCGTGATAGTTTACCACTTTTTTTCACCGAGTTACTGTGTCCGGATTCTACTTAGTAGCTCTAAAGAATTGATTTGTTTCAGTCGGAAAAATTAAAACAAAAATATTTAAAATCCTGTCCTATTCGTGAAATAAATTCCGTATCCAACAACAAAACATTGAATATCCTTTTTATTTTTGTGATGGGAAAACTGAAATAACGTCAAATTCCCTTTAGGCCCTACCGCATCGTAAAGCGCACCGAGTCTTTTCATGAAAAACGATGATAATTCTCACCATAAAGTAGATTTTAAAAATTGAAAAACGTACAGTGAAAGTAAATAATTGGCATTATGTACATTTTATTAATGCACATGTAATTAATACGTGGATACAGAGAGCACTGGCGGACTTAGAGGGGGCCAGCCCCCCACCCAAAAATATATAAAAGATTAAAAAATCAATAATTATACATAATTTTGCTAAAACAAGTCAAAAAACTGTTCCATAAACTTCTAAAACCTGCGAAATTCCGGGGACTCCCCCCCCCCGGCCCCCACTCAAGACCCCCAACTAGTTGCCCCCTCCCTTTTTCAAGAATCCTAGATCCGCCACTGGAGTACAGTAGATTATAAAATGTAAACGACGAAATTATGGTCTCTGTTGAGGTTTATTGGCCCTCTGATAAGAGAGATAACTCTCCCTGGGATAACTGACTATTGTTAATTCCTTTGTAAAATAATCAAGATTTAGCCCCATAATTTATGCTAAAAATGTGTCCAATTATTAATTAGACTTCTGTTAGAAAATAATCAACCAAATTTTATGCGTGAACATGGGGCTGATAAGAATTAATTTTATATACATGTACATGGTAGGCTGTTCGTGTTGGTATCGATTATAATGTAATGATTTTCTCTTTTTATGCCCCAAAGATTAGGGAGTATATAGTTTTTGCCCTGTCCATCTGTCTGTCTGTCTGTTTGTTTGTCCGCAAAAACTTTAACATTGCCCATAACTTTTGATTGGCTGGAGCTATGGTTTTCATATTTCAGATGTGTATTCCTTGTGACAAGATCTTTCTTTGGGTACCATCATATTTGACCTTTTGGCCTTGACTTTGGGGTTTAACCTAGTTTTGCAAAATTTTACCCAACTTAAACCTTGGCAATAACTTTTGAACAATTGTGCTAGGGTTTTCATACTTTACATATCATATGTAATCCTTGTAACAAGACCTTCCTTTGGATACCAACAACTTTGACCGTTTGACCTTCTTTTAAAAAAACTTTGCCATTGGCAATAACTTTTGAACGGTAGGTTCTATGGCTTTCATACTTCACTTATGTAATCCTTGTGACAAGACCTTCATATGGATACCAACAACTTTGACCCTTTGACCTTGACCTTGGAGTTTGACCTACATTTGGAAAACATTTTAATTTTGACCATAACTTCTGAACAGTTGGTGCTAGGGCTTTCATACTTCACACATGTAATCCTTGTGACAAGAACTTCCTCTGGATACCAACAACTTTGACCCTTTGACCTTGACCTAGGAGTGTAACTTTAACCTTGGCCATAACATTTGAACGATTGGTGCTATGGATTTCATATTTCACATGTGTATTTCTTGATAAGGCATTTCCTTAGGCACCATTAATTTTGACCATTTGACCTTGACCTTTAACCTTCTCCATATCTATTAAAGTGTTGCTGCTGAGGCTTTCATATTTTACGGGTATATTCCTCGAGACAAGACCTTACTTTGGGTAACAACATATTTGATTTGAATTTGAAAAAGTTTAACCTTCGCTATAAGTTGCCATGTATTTCACAAACACATCTTGTTTTTTATTTGAATGAAGAGAACTTCTATATTTATTATAAGATTTTTTGATTTCAGTATCCCTATGTAGTATTCCTCTTATCTGGCAAAATAGAACGTTTCTGGTTGCACAATTTTCGAATGGTAGCTTAAATAAAACCACTTCCACAAATGCTACATTCAGAGGTACCACCGCAGTCTGGGGAGATGATGAGGGAAATTCCAGTCTGTGGACATGTCACTATATTGATGAAAGTAGCATTGTATTAAGAAGGTAAACAATGCTTTAGAAGGTACAATCTTTCGGGAATATGGGAAGGGGGGAGTCACCTTTTTTTCATTTGTAAAAAACGTGGATATAATTCATAAGTTCTCTGAAGTGTTCTTTGTTCGCAAAGTGAATGTTACTAACGCGTTTTTGGGGGGTTGATTTTACAGCAAACTAAAGAATGACAGCAATGAAGCTTTCCAGTGTTTGCTGTACAAAACAGTAAACGAATCTCTGACTTATTATCAAACATTATCAGGTACATTATATTTCTAAAATTTGGTTTTCAAAATACAATAAATATCAAATGAAATAATTCCTACAGAATTCAGAGAGTATAACTACCAAATAAATTGATTCTATAATAATTAAGATTTTCGATATTTCAGTAAACGACAGCCAATATATTATATTTCCGCAAACATACAACCCTTCGGTTTGTGAGGTATGCAGTGGCACCAAGACAGAACTTTATGTTATGTTCTTGAAAGGTAAAAAGTGTTCATGGGGTGATAATTTGCAAAAAACAACATCTTTAATTCTTTTTATAACACATGATCATTATTTTGGCTTTTTTTCACAGTATTTATACCGTTTTCTGAGTAGTTTGATTAAAAAGGGAGTACTTTTTTGGTACTTATTTTCAGAAAACTTGACCTGTGGATGTGTCCCAGATTGTAACGATATTTTGTTTATAAACCCGTGCAGGAGTCTCGAGAATACCGCAAACAAATGTGACTCTGAAATGGTATCACCAACAAGTGAAACAAGTGATGCAAATTCATCCTGGTCACGGCACCAAACTTCGCTGAATTCAGAAAATTTAACAACAAGCTATGCAGAGGTAACTTGGTCATGGCAACAATCCTCGCCAAGTGCAATGGATAATAACCAAGGACAAAATTCAGGAAATAAAAAGGACAGACTTGGTGTCCTGATAACTCATCATGGAGCTTACATTGGATATGGATTGTCCGGACTATTGTTTTTTGTTACTTGTATGGCCTGGGTTTGTCGGTGTTTTCGACTTGCCAAGCAGTCTTACGAAAAGAGACGAATAAGGAAAAACAAAGTTCACGTTATTCCGGTACAGGAAAAGAACTAGTAAAAATTGTTTCCAAGATATACATTTTATATGAAAATTTAATTTTTGACAACTTTTCAAATAAAGCAATAAATGCACCCCCCCCTCTCTCTCTCTTATTATTTGGAGAGGGGTTTATAAAAATAAAAAGAAGAAAATACTAGACAATTTGAGACAAAATTTTGACAATAAGAATTTTGAAAAAGCAACTTTTGTCATGCAGTGGTCGTGCAGTAAATTTACCATTTTCATACTATCAATACGCAATCGTAATGTTTGGAAAATCTATACAGATCACAAAATCAATGTTTTAAACATATAAAATATATACTTGCGCTTGTGTGTTTTTGCTTGCATGTATGTGTGTGTGTTTTGGGAGGGGGGCACCCGAAAAATGAAATAAATTCGATCAAGTTGATCATGTTACTGTAGTAATCTCATTGTTTGTTTTAATACTCTTGCATATATAACTTTTAATTGCATTGATTGACTTTTGTACAACATTTTGTGTAATTGGAAAAGAATTTACATGTTTATATCCCTAATCCAAATTTAATGACTATAGCAAAGGTACATTTTGATGGGGAGGGGAGGGGGAGTCCAAAGTATTTAATAAGGTCAGGGTTGGGTATGTTAAAGGTATTTGTTTTCGGGCTGTTATTGTAAGCTATTGAAATGTCAGGGCCGTTTATCGAGCAAAAAAGAAAGTTATACAGAGATTAACGCAAAGAAGCTATTTTTATAAGTATCGACTCAGCGTTTCTCGGAGACTCCCAACTTTCTATCTCATACAACGGTTCATAAAAATGGGCAATGAACAATCCTTGCATTGCAAGGTTTTGTTTTTGTTTTTTACCAAAGACACAGGCAAATTAATCATTTAGTGCAAGTAGTGGTCCTCTAAATGACTGAGCTAAAACGCTGTAAATAATTCAATATAATATTTTTTTTATCGTCAACATCCCTTATTTATGTAGCAATATATCATTATCACCTGGATATCGAGTTAGTCTCCCATTTGATTCGACACAAAAGAGCATGCTCTACATCAAATAATTTCTAGAGCGAGACAAGCTATTGACAAATAAGTTGATGATACAAGGATCTAAACAGTTTCGTTTAAAGTCAACATTTCGCAAATCCTATGGCCGATATACTGACCTTGTTAGCAAATACAATATGCCGTTAAGTCGAATATTGACTGACGTCTTTCTTATACATTGTTAGGCCATTATTTTCAAACTGAATCTAGAATTTTTCCGGTCCCAATCATGTCAAGGAGCACACGGCTGGTGTGACCGATCAGCAAGGGATGCCTACTCCTCCATGACACCTGGCACCGGGGCCATATAACTTAGATGAGCTCACTTTTGATCTCAATCTCACTTTTGTAAAAGGAATATATAATGGAAAAGTGAGACTGAGATCAAAAGTGAGCTCATCTAAGATTTATGGCCCCCAGAGCGTGGTCCCACCTCTGATGTTTTTAGAGGACCACCTTTGCTCTGCTCATAATTTATATTGTTTCAATGGACTTTTGTGCTTGACTACTGTTCGTTATCTTCATATTTCATGCAATAGAAAAATTATTCAATTTGTAGATTGGGTTTTTGTCTTGTTCAACCCTCAACCCCCCAACCCCCTTGCACGAGCAGGCCATCTCTAAGCCCAAACTCTGCTAAAATACTACATGCATAGAAATTTTCACCACCGTTTTGTTTTCGCCTTTGTAGCAAATCCAATGTACATGTACATTTTTTTCTAGATCAGGTCAACCCTGAAGAACACCTTGACCAAAATTTGAAGATGAAAAAAGGTCTTTCTATCTAATGGTCAATCACATCCTCCAACCTTAAGATTGGTTTACACACTAAATGATACTTTGGACATTAAAGCTGAACATATGTGTAAATTATTTGATAATACTCTCTCCCGTTATTCCAGTTTGTCTTTAGTTTCACCGTAAATAGAAAGGCAGCCATGAGTTTAAATCTTGTATCATGCTGTAAATTTTAAATTGACTGATTGGAAGCAACTTAAAAAATTTACAACACACAAAAAAGTCACAATATTTTTAGCTCACCTGAGCTGAAAGCTCAAGTGAGCTTTTCTGATCACCAGTTGTCCGTCGTCTGTCCGTCTATCCGTCCGTCTGTTAACTTTTCACATTTTCAACTTCTTCTCAAGAACCACTAGGCCAATTTCAACCAAAGTTGGTACAAAGCATCCTTGCGTAAAGGGGAGTTTCAATTGTTAAAATGAAGGGCCAAGCCCCCTTCCAAGGGGGAGATAATCAAGAAAAGACAAAAATAGGATGGGTCATTAAAAAATCTTCTTCACAAGAACCACTGGGCCAGAAAAACTGAAACTTATGTGGAAGCATCCTGGGGTAGTGTAGATTCTAAATTGTTCAAATCATGACCCCGGGGGTAGGGCGGGGCTGTAATAGGGAATCCAAGTTTTACATTGAAATATGTAAAAAAAAAAAAAAAAAAAAAAAAAAAAAAAAAAAAAAAAAAATTTAAAAATCTTCTCAAGAACCACTGGGCCAGAAAAACTGAAACTTATATGGAAGCATCCTGGGGTAGTGTAGATTCTACATTGTTCAAATCATGACCCTCCGGGGGAAGGGAGGGGCCGTAATAGGGAATCCAATTTTCACATTGAAATATGTAGAAAAATTGTTTAAAAATCTTCTCAAGAACCTCTGGGCCAGAAAAACTGAAACTTAAGTGGAGGCATTCTGGGGTAGTGTAGATTCTAAATTATTCAAATTATGACCCCTGGGGAAGGGCGGGGCCACAATAGGTATTACAAGTGAGAAATCAGGTGAAGAACAGGAGGGCAAAAGTTACTCAGGTGAGCGTTTTGGCCCATGGGCCTCTTGTCATACCTCCATCTATTCAATTCAAAATTTACTTGACATGAGCATTTCGGAACCGTTTCTTTGTCAGTCAAATGCTTGACACTACATACAGAAAATTTAAATTCCACACAAGTTTATAAGCAGGCGTGATATGAGTGAAATATTCTTAGCTCCACATGCCAAGAGGAAAATAATACACATGTACATGTTTCCAAAGTTTCCTATCATTTTTGCCTCTTTTCTGTATTATTCTGTAAATTGACAATGTCATAATTCTTGAAAATAAATATATAAATAAATGAAAGAAAGTAATGATTTCAAGATGTTATCATGATTATACTGTTTCTGAAAACGTAGCGAAACATATACGTAGCTACATGGCTTCATACATCATTACGTATATATTTTTTCTAATTCTGGTTAATAAAACGTACTCAGCGCATAGTGTATGTGCAATCAGTTTAATTTTCAAAAGTACAAATGAATTAATAATAAAGTAAGCCCGTAGGAAGTAATTTTAGTTACTTAGTTACCCAAAGAAAGGTCTTGGCACAAGGAATACACATGTGAAACTTGAAAGCATAGCTCCAACCAATCAAAAGTTATGGGCAATGTTTAAGTTTTTGCGGACAAACAGACATACAGATAGACAGACAGACAGGGCAAAACTATATACCCCCGAATCTTCGATACGGGGGCATAAAAATTGTTGGTACCCATGCAATGGAAAAACGTGTCACAAGGAATACACGTGTAATATGAAAGCCCTGTATAACTCCAAATATTCAAAAGTTATGGCCAAGGTTATTTTTATGCCCCCGTATCGAAGATTTGGGGGTATATAGTTTTTGCCCTGTCCGTCCGTCTGTCTGTTTGTCCGCAAAAACTTTAACATTGCCCATAACTTTTCATTGGTTGGAGCTATGTCTTTCATATTTCATATGTGTATTCCTTGTGACAAGACTTTTTGACCTTGACCTTGGAGTTTGACCAAGTTTTACAAAATTTTCCCCAACTTTAACCTTGGCCATAACTTTTGAACAATTGGTGCTAGGGCTTTCATACTTCACAAGTATAATCCTTATAACAAGACCTTTCTTTGGATACCAACAACTTTGACCTTTTGACCTTGACCTTGGAGCTTGACCTACTTTTGAAAAACTTTAACATTGGCCATAACTTTTGAACAGTTGGTGCTAAGGCTTTCATACTTCACATGTGTAATCCTTGTGACATGACCTTTCTTTGGATACCAACAACTTTGACCCTTTGACCTTGTCCTTGGAGTTTGACCTACTTTTGAAAAACTTTAACATTGGCCATAACTTTTGAACGGTTGGTGCTAAGGCTTTCATACTTCACATGTGTAATCCTTGTGACATGACCTTTCTTTGGATACCAACAACTTTGACCCTTTGACCTTGACCTTGGAGTTTGACCTACTTTTGGAAAACTTTAACATTGGCCATAACTTTTGATGGTTAGTGCTAGGGCTTTCATACTTCACATATGTAATCCTTGTGACAAGACCTTCCATTGGATTCCAACAACTTTGACCCTACCTTGACCTTGGAGTTTGACCTACTTTTGGAAAACTTTAACCTTGGCCATAACTTTTGAACCGCTGATGCTAGGGCTTTCATACTTCAGTAATCACATTTGTAATCCTTGTGACAATCCTTCCTTTGGATACCAACAGCTTTAGCACTTTGACCTTGACCTTGGAGTTTGACCTACTTTTGGAAAACTTTAAACTTGGTCATAACTTTTGAATGATTGGTGCTTCGGCTTTCATATTTCACCTCTGTATTTCTTGGGAGAAGGCCTTTCCTTGGGCACCATCAATTTTGACCATTTGACCTTTACCTTGATGTTTGACATACTTTAAAAAAAAACATTAACCTTTTCCATATCTATTCAATGGTTGCTGCTGGGGCTTTCATATTTCACAGGTATATTCCTCGAGACAAGACCTTACTTTGGGTACCAACATATTTGATTTGCATTTGAGAAAGTTTAACCTTTGCTATAAGTTGCCATACAGGGGCATCAGTGTTTCACAAACACATCTTGTTTTTTTAAAGTGGGTCAAACACCAAGGTCAAAAGTTCAGAAATATTTTTACCCAAGGAAAGGTCCTGTCAAAAGGAATACATACACATGTGTAATATGAAAACCCTATCACTAACCATTCAGAAGTTATGGACAAGGTTAACGTATGGTAAAATTTTGCAAAAATGGGTCAAACTCCAAGGGTTAAGGTCAAGAGGTCATATATGTTGGTATCCAAAGAAAGGTATTGCCACATGGAATACATATGTGAAATACGAAAGCCATAAAGCTCTAACCAATCAAAAGTTATGGGTAATGTGGGTGTTTTCGGGGTCAAACAGTCAGACAGACGAACGGATAGAGCTAAAACGATATGCTCCCGAATCTTTGAGTACGGGGTCAAGTTGCTAAGAAAATATTCATTCTAAAACCTTTCAATTCGGAATCAGCTAGTTCAACCGTCGAACTTTCTGAGTTCAAGCGTCTGACAAACATCGAGTCAGCAAGTTCTCTTTCGATCCAAACAAAAACATCATCTGCACTGAATTAGGTAAATTATAGATATTGCAAATTAAGATTCGTTGTACGTGGATACTCCTTAAAAAATAGAGATAAGATTCAAAACCTATCATGTAAATAGAGGTATTGCTAAATAAACGTATTTAAATATGAATAGGTGCACAGCACTAAAAAATAATAGAGTTGTTTTGCGTTGCTAAGAAGGCGCACTTGCGAAGTTGCGTTCTTTTTTCATCATTTCTGTGTAGGGTAAGTGCATATATGTGTGCCATTTTCCAAATGACTGGTTTTATGAATACAATTCATATATATTTTTTTAAACTTTATCATCATTATAATGTTCACCTTCATTTAATTCAAATTAAAAAAAAAAGTTTTAAATAATCTGTATCAAGATTTAAAAATCGTGTTATGAAAAGATTGATATTGTGTGTAGAACAGATTTAACATAATTTTTAAAATTTAAAATTTTTTGTTTTTATAATCTGGTCATGGAGTGGATTACAACATGAGAGAGAGAGTGGGGGGGGGGGGGGGTAAATTACAATGGGAGATAGAGGTTGGGAATTTGTCTTTTCTCCATTGATGTGGTAAACTTTACTTGAAAGAAATTTCTAAGATCTCAAATAAAAGAATTAAAAAAAAACACCATTGAAAATCTGTATGTTTTGAACATGTGAATTTAAATGATTTTAACTTTAATGCACATAATGGTCAACTTGGTCCTTTATCAATTAAGAAAAAAAAAATGAGTGAGTTGGATCAGGGTACCTAGTGAAAGCTTTAAACTATAGAAGAGTACTGAACTGTTGGAATTTTGGCAAAGTTCCCCCTAGTATTTATTCAGAGACAGGTAAAAATTTCTGATATACTACCAGAGGGGTGGGATATATTGTTCTTCTTCATGGGTTGTAATGCCTCATGTAAGTCAAAAAGTTGCTCTTTTTTTAACTCAAGTCACAGTAAGTTTATGGATGTTCATTTATTTATTTTATATGTCACATAGATTTATATCAAAGGTGTATATTTTGAAATACTGTCACTTGTCTGTTGAGTTGTCATTATAGAAGGCAATATTTAAGTATGTGTAGCAAAAAATTGATTTTTCAAATATCTTATAGTTATGAAGAATATTTAGTTGAATGGATAAACATGTTTATCAATTTTATATCATATATTCATAACATTTTTATTTCAACAGCAAGGAAACCTTGATTAGTACTACACTAAAAAAACAAAATGGCATACTATGGCGTGAGTTGCACTTAAATTCATACATTATGCATACTTTATAAAACAAGTATAAAATACTGTAGCATCATTGATATTTTTACTGATGAATGAATAAAATGATTATATACGTTTGTTTTAAACTTTTATTCTTTATATACTAGGTTATATTGTAAAAATCTTCATCCCTTGTAGAGTAACTATCCACCCATGCAAAATCCTTATGCAGGAGGATACACTTCCTATGGATATGGAGCAAATCCATACCAGCAAGCCCCAGGATTTGGATTTGGAATGGTAGGATGGGAAGAAACGTTACAATTTATTAATTATGTGAATATTATAAATGCTTGCTGATATTGCATTATATGTAGTTAGTACATAGTGATATCAGACTTCAGTCTGTGTTGGGGGAGGGGGGGGGGGGGTTGAAGAAGAAAGTTAAATATCTTATAAGGTATTTTCTGCTTTGTTCTGCCATCTGTAGGCCAGATACATGTATGTTACGCACAATCTACTTTCATAATGGAAAACTCATAAATTTTGCAATAGAACATTTTCATTTCTCTTTTGGAACACTTACAGCATTTCATTTATTTAATCTATTTTCAAATTTTCCTAAAAGCAGCGTTGAGTAATAGTGTCTTTCTAAGAATTTTAAACCAAAGGTATGTTTAAATAATGCAAAATAGTCAAAGTTTGAGCATTTCAGTTTTTTTCGATAATTAAAATGTTGTACATGGGTAAAGGCCCACCATTCTGCGGCACAATAGTGTAAATCCCACAAACTGTTCTATTTTGCACAGTATACTACATGTAGTTACATATGTGTATGATACAAATGAAGTTCTGCATTTAACAATATTTTATTGAATCCTTCAGCAAATTAATATGCAGGTAAGAATAATACATGTATAGAAATTTTTCTTAAATCTATTTCTCTAATCTTTCTTCCTTGAAAAATGGGGTTATATATGGGGTACCTCAGTTGCTTAGACAAAATACAAATACATGTACCAGGGTATATGTGATGTGCTTTGTGTCGAATTTGTTTATGTTCTTATTACTGTTTTCTCATATTTTACTTGTGCTTTTGTATCTGTTGTTTGGTCACTAACAGGGAAATGTAGGAAAAAAATAGCTATCTCCCTAAAAAAAAAAAAAGAAAAATCCGCATATAAACCTTAAATGGATTTTGTTCTTGTTACCATACTTTATGTATGTTCCATCTTAGTAACCATGCTCATTTATCCTTTTGAGATTTTCAAACTAAATCTTTTAGTACTTTTTAGCTCATCTGAGCATGATATATACTTCCAATGAAGACAAGTCCTTGTGTGATTTTATATACACCAGTAACATTCACAAACTAAAAAAACATTCTTACTTTGTATTCTTTTTTTTTTTTTTTTTTTTTACATTTTACGTACATGTTTAAACTAGCTGGCAAAAATGCACCACGATTTGAAGTTGAACTTGGCCATTCTTTCCTGATTAACTCTTATAATTCAACATGTATTACATGTACATGTATTAAAAAAAAGATGAAATTGTTTCTTACCTTTTTAATATGACAGTTATATTCCAAAAATTGTATCTGTATTACTGCATGTCAAGGAATTAAATGTTTAAAGAAAAAGGAATATAAATTGTTTAATGCATTTTTGTGGCATATTACATTCTACAATATGGTAAGGTGGTGAAAATTAACATAAATATATTGAATACATACCTTTGTATAACCAGAACACAATCTTTTCTTTGAAGTCTTTTTAAAGATAAAGAAAAATTATCCATTGACTTATATGTGAAGAAATAGCAATATATAACATAATATTCCTATCTGTTCCTAGAGTTTTCAAATATATATATATCACATTATTATGCATTACATATTATCGACACGATTAAAATCAAGATGAATGTTTTTGACAGATGGGAATGCCGGCGATGCATCAGATGCCCCCGTCTACCCAAACCATCGTCATTAACAACAACGTTTGGAACCAGAACCAAGCATTTATGAATGCAGCGGTTAGTGGTCTGTTTAATTAATTAACATAGAGAAGGTTTTGGTTGTATGTTAATTAATTTAGTTATATTTTTAATAGGGCTGACAATTGCCAACTGATTTTACCTTTTAGTTATGTCAGAACTTATATAATGGTAACTGGTTGCTCAACACACATTTTACTGTATGTGTACTTTAAAAAGTGGGCTTCATATTTTAGCGACTTTGGCACAGAAAACAATGTGCTAATTCATAAATACAGTTAATAAATAAATACAACATATGGCATGGGTGTGTGTTAAGCGCCAATTCATGAATACACCAACCACTCAATATCCAGTGATCGCACTAAATTTTGAATACGTCAGTTTATGTACACTACAGTAATTGAAACTAATTAGAGTTCATAAGGATGAGAAAATCTACCACTGTAGAAACAGCAGACAAGCTCTCTTGGCTGTGTTCATTTTACTCCATTAATTGTCTTACTGAAGGTGTTCTCTCTCTCTCCGCCAAAAGGATCATTCATGTAAGGTTCCTTCCACTTCTTCTCAAAATAATTGTGACTCCTTCAGGAGTGTTTGTTGTTTTTAATACACACCGATCAATTATAACTTTTTAGTATAAATGTATCTAATACAGGCACAAACACTTGGAGGTGGTGAAATGGAAGAACTTGTGCAACAAGCTGAGGAGGAGGAAGAGGAGGAGGAGGAGGAGGAGGAGGAAGATTTGGAGGAAGAAATTAGAGAAAATAGGAGGAAGAACAAGAAGAAGGCCAGAAAACAGAAGGTAAATGGAAAGTTAAAACTAAAGTCACTACATACATCCAAAACTACCAGCTACTGAAATACTGGGACAGTGGCCCCCGAGGGTATTGTGAGATCAGATACAGTGAGGTATTGCTTACAACGAGATGAGTATTGAGTCCCAAATTAATTCTTTAATATTTCTTTTATAAAAATGCCGGTTATGGTGAGATTGCTTACAAGGAAATTCTGCTTATAATGAGGCCAAAGTCTTGTGGGCCTCATTAGTAGAAAGAGGTATATCGGATATTATGAGATACTCATGCCATGGATGATTGCACTGGCTATAGCTCCAGGTAAATAATGGTAATTATCACAGGTATCTGTACACAACTTCTCCATTGGCAATTTATTAAAGGTGTTTAGAAATAATAATGAATGACATGTTTTATTTTTCAAGGTTCTTAGATATGAATAAATGCACTAGTGCAAATGTGTATATGTTCTTATGATAAACAGAGGATACAGAAAATGCAATGCAGTTTAGCTTGATCATATTGTGCAGTGCAATGACAAACTTATTTAACTCATGACATGTTTTAATTTATTACTTAAGGTTCTTAGAAATGAATATATGCACTAGTGCAAATGTGTATATGTTTTTAGAATAAAAAGAGGATATTCAATGTTTTGTTTTTAGAATAAATAGAGGATATTCAATGTTTAGTTGTTGGATATGGAATTTATTTCACAAGTGGGACAGGATTTTTTTTTTATTTTTTCACGATTTTTTACAAAATGTATTTAAATAAACCTTTAATATATGAACGTCTATCAGTACTTACAGTACTTTGATTTTTACTTGGAAACATGCTCACATACATGCAAGTCTTTACAAATCTGCTCTCTGCCTGTGAAATGCAGAGTTTGGATATATCAAATATTGGTTATAACAAGATCTAAACTGATGTCTAGTGCATCTCGATATAATACCTGGAGTCCACTGTATTTAATAAAACAGAATACTGGATCATCTTATCCATTTTGATACATTAATTTTATTCATTTTCCAGGACAGTGATTAAAATTCCAGTACATGCTTCCCTATATATTGATATATCTGACAGCTCTTATATTTTGCAGAAAATAGAAGAACTGTTGGCACAGAAGATGGAGGAGGATGAAGATTTTATGCAAAGGTTGAAGACGAACTACATTGCCAACTTAAAGCACCATCTGGACATGGACGGCACACTGGAACCTACAGAGGGGACAGTAAAAGCTCTTGAGAAGTAGTTTTTTTTTGTCATAGCTTAAGATGACTTTAAATAAGTTCAAAGCTAAAATAAAAATTTAAATAAGTTTTTAGCTAAGCTCCACCAATGTGGGTCAAGTATTTTTTTCATTATAGCTGTAGAGATGACTTTAAAATCAGTTAAAGGTTAATTTTAACTCATCTCCAACTCTTTGGGTCAACTGCATGACTGATGCATTTTGGAATGCATACAACTGCAGTCTTGTTGCTCAAAAGCACTGAATGAATGATGAAATTTGACTTCTTCACTTTATTGAACATTTTTTTACTTTGTGTATCTTAATGTTATCTTTATACCTGCAGGGTTAATTACTGGATTACCTTTCAGATCAAGTGCAACTGTTTGTCTTGTTGAACCTTGGTCTCCTTGAGCATTGTCAAGATTATATATAAACATAGAAACCTGCAATGTTTGGTTAATATTTTTTAGTATAGTTAGTTTTTAATTCCTGTGGAGTATTATTTTCATATTTTAAGTTATCTCCCTTGCCGTACAAGCTCATGCAGTTGTTTTCTAACCGTTCATCTAGTCTTCATTTTCAGTGTCAATGATTTAGTAATAGATATGACTGTAATCTCCCACAGACCAAACTTATGCTTCAAATTTCCATTCCAGATATCCAGAAGATGATCCCATGGTGCAATTTATGCTAGAGTTTGACGGAACAGAACTTGCTGGTGAAAAATGGGATCCAGAAACTGACAGTATATTTTTAAAGGAAGCCATGGATGGCGCTGGTTAGTGAAATTATATAATATTATTGTACATTTTTTTTTCATTCTAAAAACGTATTTAAAAAAGGAAAATTAGAAAGAATTCAAAATTTGAATTGATTCTTAGTGCAAGTTGCTAAGACTCTATAGCCAAACCATAGCATATCTGTGAAATCTGTAATTTCAATCAGTTCAACTGTAAGTTAATTTATTTATCTATTTATTTTTTTTTTATTTTACCCTTTCAAGGCACAAATGAAGAAGCCATCATTCATGTGATAGCCAATCGTACGCATGCACAGAGACAGGAAATCAAACAGATGTTCAAGACTGCATATGGAAAGGTATCTTACATGTAAATATAGCAGAACTTGGAAATTTAAATCTGTATGCATATATATGTTACATTTGAGCAAATAATTTTTTCACTCCAAGTTGGCAATCAGCCAAGAGACCCAGGTGAGAAAACTCTTGAGGAAAACAAGAAAATGAAGTATTTAATATAAATTATACCTCCTTTTATAGAATCTCAACAACATTATAGATACAAAGTTTATTATATACAAGAACACATATTGGATCATGGGTACTGACTTACAATGTGTTAATTAAAACTGATCTATCTCCAGGATTAGGGATAGGCAAAGTACACTGTAACACATAAGAAGCAAACAATGTATAACAAATACATGTAGTTAGTCATTATCAGTATGTAGTACATGTATTTGGTAAATTAAATGAAAATTTGTATGCATAATTCTTTATAGATACATTAGTATAAAAAATGCAGCACTATTCTTCAAAATTTCACAGAGTTATGGCCAAATGCTGACACAAATTCATTGTATTCTTAAAGGCAGATAAAAAAAAAATAGCGTAGAAAGTGATGGGGATATATTTTTATAGAACCAAAGATTCTGATTCCCTTAAACACTTCTCCATAATACCTGTTAACATTATTTTGCTAGGATCTGATTGAGGAACTGGAGTCTGAGCTCAGTGGTGATTTCAAAAGTGCCGTGATGTCTTTGTTTGTTCCACCTCATATTTACGATGCCTATTGTATCAAAGAAGCCATTTATGTAAGTTTAAGAAAAAAAAAAAAACTTTTATGATACATATGCTGGATTATAAGAAAATGGATATAATTTTTGTAAAACTGTTTTTAACACTTTTTTCAGAGTTTAATAGGTGATATTAGTATTAGTATAAGTAATAATAGTAATACAGTATTAATATAATTGTACCCAAGAAGAAGGACAAAAATTTAAAAAAAATGTCACACTGCTAAAAAAAATCCCTTAAATGTTCAGATTATATGAGAAAAATCATTGAAATCTAAATTAACTTTTTAATTAAAAGTTCATAGTAAATCCGCTGTAAGTTTATGGTAAATTGCTGTAAGTATTTGGTAAATTGCTGTAAGTATTTGGTAAATTGCTATAAGTTTATGGTAAATTGCTGTAAGTATTTGGTAAATTGCTGTAAGTTTATGGTAAATTGCTGTAAGTATTTGGTAAATTGCTGTAAGTATTTGGTAAATTGCTATACGTTTATGGTAAATTGCTGTAAGTATTTGGTAAATTGCTATAAGTTTATGGTAAATTGCTGTAAGTATTTGGTAAATTGCTATAAGTTTATGGTAAATTGCTGTAAGTATTTGGTAAATTGCTATAAGTTTATGGTAAATTGCTATAAGTTTATGGTAAATTGCTGTAAGTATTTGGTAAATTGCTGTAAGTATTTGGTAAATTGCTGTAAGTATATGATAAATTGCTATAAGTTTATGGTATATTGCTATAAGTATATGATAAATTGCTATAAGTTTATGGTATATTGCTATAAGTATATGATAAATTGCTATAAGTTTATGGTAAATTGCTGTACTTGTAGTTACCTGAGAAACAAATTTTTACTTTTAGATTTTGTTAAACATAATATTGTTATTATTTGTTATTTGTTAACATAATATTTGTTATATATAATATCCTCTGACATGAGTAGATTTTGAGAGGAAAACTGGAATTCAGATGTATCATCACTTTCAGAAATAACTTTATTTAATGCAGTATATATCTCTCCACTGAATGAACACATCTTAATTTTCTTCTTTTTGAATTGCAGGGCCTTGGGACAGATGAATCTGTACTTATTGAGATTTTTGGTACTAGAACACCAAAGCAGATAAAAGCAATTAGAGAAGTTTACGCTGATGGTAATATTTGTTTACAATTCAGAAAGTTTTTGGCAGTCATATAATATGTACAATGTAAACCAACTTTTATTTGGGTGCAAAATTTTTTTTTGAGTTTCTCAGCTTTCTTTTACTCAAGAATATTTTTTCCCATCAATCTGAATTAAAATCAGATCTTTTGATCTGCTTTTTGAGATGGCTACACAAGAATCTGAAGAAACCCTATTAACTGACCTTGTTCAAATGACCTTGGTTGAAGGTCACACCATATCCCTTTAGTCAAAAGTACTAATTCAAGAAGTGCTGCTTGTGACTAGAGGGACTGAATATCATTTTTTCTCTCAGAGGTCTGAAAAACTGCATGAGGCTTATTTAGAGGGAAAAAATCTACACTCATCTTGATTGACTATATAGATCCATTTTTTAAAATTCACTTTGTTTCTAGTTGCAAGCCCAAACAGAAAAGAAGGGGATACTCTAGTTGAACAGGACATTGAAGATGACACGAGTGGTGATTTCAAACAGTTCCTCATATCTGCATGTCAGGTATCAAAGTTTTAAATTTAGAAAGCTATTTAGTTACTTAAAGTGGAAGAGATAATGATTTTGTTGCCTCTTTATGGGTCACTGTTAAACTGGATAACAGTAGTTATATTCATGATTGAGTCACTCTTTGGAACATATGTGTCCTGATGAAGGAATTACGATAGAAGTATGCTGATGATTAAGAACACTGTTGTTGAATGCAGATTTTCAAGATGATTACTGGGCTGTGTCTTACAAGATCAAAATTGAAGAGAAAAAAATTCAGAATGAAAGAAAAGAACTTTTATAAAAATTGCAGATGCTATATGTTTATTTCTTGATTTCTAAAGGATACTTGTATTAAAATAAGTATTTTATATTATGTTTTACATAATATTCCCAAATTTTTTTCTTTGTAAAATGAACCCAGTTGTTACTTAACCAAAACCTAAAGATGAAATAGGAGTATCATTAATGAAAGAAGAGAAATTTTCCAAAAATAAAAAAGAAATTTTTTATCATTCAAATTTTATGTTTGAAGAAGGTGATTTATTTCAAATTATACATTTCAGGGTGGACGACGAGAGCTTGACCCAGATACATTAGAGGAAGCAGTGGAACCTGTCACTTTTGAGGACAGACCAACAGGGCAGTTCGTCATCAACATGGAAAAGCTAGTAAATATGGGTAAAGCCAAACGTGATGCTCAGAAACTGTTTGAGGTCACTGAAGATCAGCTTGGTACCAATGAAGAGGAAATGATTCGTATCTTCGCAGTTCCGGAGGTTTACCAGTCGAGGGCCACTTATGATGAATATGTTAAGGTAATTCCCTCCAGGGATTAAGTGATTGTTCTGAAGAAAAAGACATATTTCATTATCATTGGATTCTATTCATTGAAATCATTGTTTATATATAGCCACTTTCTTAAGAAAGAGTATTTTTGAACTGAAATATTAAACCGAAATAATACATTTATCTAATCGATTACTTATCAGCTGACTCAAAGAGATGTCGAGAACACTATTGATAGGGAAACTTCTGGAAACTTTGGTAAAGGACTTCTAACTATGGGTGAGTTGTACGTTTATGGCCATCTTGTTAGTAAAGGAATTATTTTCCATTTCATAAGATTTTTATTTTTCATTCATGTGATGGTAACCATCTTTCTGTAAATGTAATGCAAACACATTCTCTATTACCATGGCTATAATCTTGAGAATAAGTGTACATGTATACATTTTGATTTTTTGATTGACAGTGATGGCTCTGAAGTGCCGCCCAAAGTATTTTGCTGAACGCCTTGTGTGGACCATGAAGGGGCTTGGGACACACGACTCAGATCTTATCCGTGTCATTACAAGTAGATCAGAGGTAAATGTCTTTAAAATTTTATAATCGAAGCTTAAGTTCGGCTATAAAAATAAATTGAATAGCTAAATTACAAGTGTGACTTACAATTCTGCTATTTATTAATTTATTTTTGTACCCAATTCAAGTGAAGTTAAAGAGATTAGACAAAAATTCATGAATTACTACATGTATAAATAAGTGGAAAATCAGTAGAGATTTAATACTTATCACAGTCATTCATAGAAATCAAATATTTTGGGAATGTCTTGAGTAGGATTTATGTACTTAGAGGCTAGATTTACTTTACTAACGAAGCTCAACAACACGTATTGCACTGCATCTGAATGACCATGTAATTGCATCTCCTTTGTCGATCTGCTTACATTCTAAGTATACATATATTTATATATTATGCTCTTTAGTAAGTCTGTTTTCTCTGTAGATTGATATGGTCCAGATCAAGGATAGTTTTCTGGAAATGACCAAGCAGACATTGTATAATTGGATCGACCAGGATTGTTCTGGTGACTACAAGAAACTTCTCATGGCCATTGTGGGCAAAAATTAATTCAACTGACCAGAATTGTTGTGCTGACTAAAAGAATATTATCAGGATAGTTACGTTTGTCACATGTTAGATTATTACACACTTTATATGCTGAATGATAAAATGTGAAAACCAAAGACAGGGGGTGTTTTCTCTTGGACTTTTTTTTTTTTAGGTCTTTTCATCAGAAAAGAAAATTTGTGAAAATTTACAGTAATTGAGAAATAACAATTCTGAAGATAAATACTTTAATTATGTAAAGATCTTGACTATATTCGAAATAAATTCTTGTTTTAAAATTGTGAAATACTTCTTGAAATGAAGTGGAATCATGAGCAAATAGTTTTTCTTGTCATATATGTTTGATCTCTTTGCAAACTCTTAAACGTACTGTTATGGTCTATTTATTGGTTTATGCTTGAAATTCAAAAGAAATTCGATTGTGATGAAGTTTATTGTTTTGATTTTGTTTATATTTCATTTTACAATGAATGACTATGTTTTGCATTTTTTATGAACAGCACTGTAGATCACCTAGGCATACATACAAATTGAATAATGCACTTTGTGAACATTGTATGCAGTAACCTGTGTCGTTCATGTGAAATGCAAAATATAATCATATAATTAATTCTTACATTTACATTTTACTATTTAATATTTGAAAGGTTATATTTTTTGAAGTCTTTTATTTCTCAAATACTTTTTTTCCGGGATGTAACTTTGTATATTGCTACAATATTACATTCATTTTGTGAGTAAAACTATCTAGAATGTTGTTATAAACACATATCTGTAAACATGATTTATTAATTTTATTGACTTCATAATTTGGTGATCAATTGAAGTTAACAATTTGTTTTTAACAGTATTTTTGGGGACAGTATATGTTTACATTAAAAATGACACAAATTCAGTAATGTTTTCCAGATTCTATTTTGATTCAGATTTTTACCATAAATATTACATAATTTATTGAGTGCAAGGTCTATATGTTATTAATTTTTTCTTGTAAGAATTGATTTTTGCAAGTCGCTGAAATAAGCATTGTTCTTATACATGTGTACTTTAAAAAAAAATCATGAAATAATCTTTCACTTGTATACTGTGTGAGGGCACAAGTATAGGATACATTGTATTTGAAAGAATGGAGAAACATTCCCTCTTTCTCTCCAGTGTGCAGTTCATTACTTGATGGTAAATGGTAAAATGTATCTTTCTACTTTTTATTGTGCATAATTTTATTGGGTTGGGTCTCCTTAACTCCGTTATGATGTCATCTGTTAGAAACATACAAATACAGTGGCGCCGCGGTAATCCGGACGCCTCACCTTCCGGACGATATTTTTTGGGAACCGATTTTTTCCACGTTATTCTGTCTCATTAATCCGGAAATTCGCGTTCCGGATCCGGACGGTCAATTTCTACTACAAAACGTAATATTTCGTTGAAAAATGACTCGTTTATCCGGACGGTAATTTTTCGAGGAACGACTTTTCACACCTTTCTTGCAGTAGTGATAATTATTGTAAAAACATTGTCCGTGGAGTCAGTGTGACCTCTAAACAATAGCGTCTATAATTAGCGTGTGTTTACCTCAGATAAAACACACGTCTTTTATATTATGAAGCCCGAAGAATTTAGCTTATATTGTGCATTAATTCAATTGCTAACGGTATATAAATATATGAGAATTTTGGAGAGCTGTAAATAAAATATTTTACTGAATAATAAATCACGAGATTTTGTTGTGATATCGTGTTGCGTAAGTTTATCAAAATACGATCGTACATTATTTGAAACGTTTTTTTTTCTTTTCATAAGACAATTTAATATTATGATACATAGTTCAAAAAATATATATCTCTATTAATGCACTAAGAAATACGTAACTGGCGTTAGTTATAAATGCCGATCACGTCTTTTCAAGATATATAACTTAAGAGTTTATAGAAAAAGTATTGATTATCCTGAATATGGCTTGTGTTTACGCTGAATGTTTGCAATACGTACACTGATTGCAGTATTTAGTTACTTACTTCCCTATGTAGTGAATATACGCGGTTAGTCATTTGAACATTCTCAATGGTGATAATGAACAGTTCTACTTAATATGAGCTTGAATAAATTAAAAAAAAATGTGCCGAAATAAAACAGTAGCAGATCAAAATTTGGTCAGCCCATGTAACTACACGTCAAATAGAAGGCGAGTAAAGTTTCCTGTGTTAGAAAAGGAAATCTCAACATAAAACTGACTATCCATTTTTCATCGTGTAAATTACATTTTAATTTTTTCTTTTTTAAATATTTATTATTTCTTTTAAAACTATAAAAATGAAATCAATAAGTCAAGGTAAAATAAAGGTGTTTTCTTTGCCTTCACATTTGATACCACTATGTTCATATGTACATGCTTTAAGAGGGTACGTCTTTTAAGAAGTGATTCACTTATCTGGACGATTCATTTATCCGGACGATTTCGTTGGGGACGGAGGCGTCCAGATTAACGAGGCGCCACTGTATGTTACTAAAATTTGACTGAAAAAAAATCCCCTCCCATTTATAACCTGTGATATGATTTTTATTTCTCAACTGTACATTTTATTGCAATATATGAGGATATTTTTGAGTAAAATTTTTAAGACATTATCTAAAGTATGTTGTGATTTTTAATTGATTTAATTTCCAAAGTTTCATATTGAATGTTAAATTATCAATCAGAATTCTGCCTGGCCATGCCAGCTTAAGTAGTCTTCAGTCAATGCATCCACATGCATGAAAGGAAGACATTTGTCCACCAGGGGGACAAAATAGGGGGCCAGGATGTAAATAAATGTCAGTCCCTCTAATGAATTCATAAAAGTGAACTAGTGTAATATGATATTAGTTTCTAATTAATATCACAGCCAATGCTTCAACTATTTATACATATATCAAGAAAGTACAAGTTAAAAAATACTTCTTTATCAGGTTTAATAAATAAAATGAAAAATAAAATGATTGTTTGATAAAATTTTCAGTAGCAATGCTCAGTTGTTAAAATGTATAACTAAAAACAATGTCCTAATCACCACCTAAGTAACTCTTCCACCGCTTCTTTGGTGGTGACATAATGTAATCTCGAGAACAAACAGATTTGTTGTCAAGCGTATCGACGGCATTAGAGTTACATGGTGAAAAAGCTGAAGCATCACATGAACTTTCAGTTTTGAAGGTAAATCTTTTGAACAGACGGTAATTAGAAAGGTAATCTGAAAAAGTCAAATGTCTAGCACAATTTAATTTTTCAGTGACATTTCCACATCCCTGTTCTTGTGAGGTATACCCATCTTTTGGACCAATTTCCATAAAGGTACTGGGCTGAACAGTGTCACTATTATTCTCCATGCAGTCATTAGCACTTCTCATTGAACATTTGCTGCTCAGATTTGAAATATTATCAAGGGAATCACTTGTAAATGGCACAAAACTCTGAAATAAAGAGATATTTTTGCTAGAATCATCTATGGATTTAATTCCAACTATATCCTCACTTTTAGTCTGAATGCTTTCATGCTTTCCCATATCACTGCAGAAGGGCCCCTCAAAATTGTTTGATGTATCAAGGATAATCCAGTGTTTTTCTTTCAACAAAACACCTGTTCTTGTTATTTCTGGTAGTTGTGGAGATATAGGGGGATGATTTAATGATTTAAATGATGAAAGTAGAGATTGCTTTGATGAAAGCTGTTTTGAAGAGAAAGATGATGATGCTTCATCAATTCCTCTAAGATATGTTAATTCAGATGACAAGCAATTCTCATTTATATTCGATTCTGAGTGAAATTTGGCTTCTGTTTCTCTGACTGTTTTCTGGCAAGACAAACTGCTTGAAGACTCTGTGATGTATTCACCTATAACTTCTCTGTCCTGATTATTCTCTTTAGCTTTCTCAGAGTGCTTATTCAACAACCTCATATGTTCCGAATAGGTCCTAGTCCTGCAACACTGTTTTAGATCATAGTTTCTGACAACATTAGTTATCTTCACTCTTCTACATGAATAAGAATCACTGGTATTTTCATCATCAAAAGAGTCTCTGTTATTGTCATCTCTTAAATCTGGATGGGATTCTTCTCTTTCAGCTGACATTGTGTTCTTTTTCAATACTGTGTATGATTCATTCCTATTTTCTACACAAAAGTCTTTCAACATTTTCGGAGGAAGTTTATCATCATGGTCAGTAGTATTTGAATGCACAATAGTCTTATATTTTTATAGTATGTCTGAATCATAATAACTCTCATATGTTTCTAAAGTGTAGTTACATGTTTTTCTTGCATTTTTTCTCAATTTGCCACAATGTCCTCTTATAGATACATGTAATCGTTTGCTGTGCTTATTTGCCATGTGTCTATTCTTGTTGTCTTTCGAATTAAAAATAAAGTTACACATATGACAAGTGTACACTGAGGTTGATTTGCTATTTCCTCTATAACTAGAGATTGAATGCATTGATTTTTCATCTTCAGAATGTTGCACCTTTTTTATCTTCATTTTTAATGGCTTCACAATTTTCAAAGCAACATGTAAAACATCATCCAGTTTATGACTTGGCAAGCCATGCTTATTTAAAACATCAGATACTTCCAATGAATCTGGTTTTGCTGTATTTTCATCTGCATCCATCGAAGAATCAGAAACAGGAGAAGAATTGCTCAGAGTTTTTTGACTTTCAAAGCAGAGTTTTTTCTTGCAGTTTTCACTTTTCAGGATGTCTAAGATGTAATCATCTAACTTGTGTCCTGTCTTCACTCTGTTGAAGTTGTCCATCAATTCCTCACCTGGAAATTCCCAACTTGACGAGGGGGAAAAACTTTCACTTGTATTTGAATCATCATCCATGACTGCTGAACTATTTGAACTGATGCTTGCTGAATTTTCAATCGTCAAATTATCATTAGTGAATCTGTTTGGGGATTTTACACTTTTAAGAAGGCTCAAAATATAAACATGATCTTCATCGTTTTCATCTGTGACTTTTTCCTCCATATTGAAGGTGTTTAAGCTTTAGTTTAACACGATTGATCTACTAACGAAGATCCCTCAGAATTCAACCAAATTCCAAGATTAAAAGAATGACAAAGGCATTCACAATGTTTGAAGTTAACTTTCTGCACATAGCTATGTATAATTCGCAATTATTCAAGGCTAACTCAAGCTATTTCCTTCTGGTTTGGTTAGTTCTTGCTGTTCGCTGTGGAAACTGAAACTCATTGTTTGTTCATGTATTGTGTATTCATGTATTGAGTCTTCTGCAAAAGCAAAGAATATGCATAATTAAAGCCAAGTATGTTTTCATGTATTTTGCAAATTACAGTATAGCATTGTTTTTAACCTTTCATTTCGCGAAATGTCTAAAATTATAAAATAGCGTTACTTACACGTTCTGAAAATGAAACTAGGCTGACGCTATTTTAGAATATCAAACCCGGGTTCATAAAATATATATTTTTAAATTTTACACTTATCATTTTTATCATAAAATGTAAAATGATAGTTCTATATGTATTTTTAGGATTTTAGATGAAAATGAGATTTTCTGAATGATAGTGGAAAAAAATCTTAAAGAAAAATACATCGGGATCGAGGTACAAATACACAGGTCTTCATCAGTTATGACAGAGGAAACGACAAATACAAACAACTTGTTAAACTTTGAAATAGAGGTAGGTATGCACTACTGTGCCAAATATTGCACATTGTTTAACACAAACAATGTAAAGATTTCCCATTAATATGATAACATTTTTCAACAAGAAATGATTTGGGAATCAAATAATTGTATAAAAAGGGGGTGTTGTTATCAGTTTCACCTCAAGGGTACGTATATATGGCAAAAATTAGTACATATTTTTAAAGCATTTGTGTAAAATGTCTTAATGCCTTTTTTATCTTGCAGTTTGATGATGAAGAATTTAAGTCTGACTTGCCAACTGTGGAAAACCCCACACTAGAAAGTATTCTAAATGAGGTAACAATTTTTCTGTTATGTTTTTAACAGGCAGGTAATAAAGTCTCTTTTAAGTAAAAAATAGGTTGACAGTGTGACTGTTTGGGGTGAACACAGATATGTGTATTACTGGATTCCTATTCAGTTTAATTAAGTGATTTGTCTCTTCAAACCCCACAAGACAGTTTGAACTTCTAGACTGTGGCATCACATACAGTTGTATGTTAGTTGCACTACCATAATGAAGTCTGAAAAAAGCAAATTCTAACAAAGAAAGTGTAATCTACCATTTACCTCCAATATCCATTAATTAAATCAAGGTGAGTTTATTATTTCATGGTGAACTATTCTTGTTAGCACAAGAACATAGTAGAAGCGAGATACATTTGCATTGCATTGTAGATTTTGAGATTATTGCAGAAAAAAAACAACATTTGGATCAATTTGCACAGTCCAAATTTTTTTCTTGGCCCAGCATTTGCTTAAAAAGCTTGAAGTGTCGAGTGGTGCTTTGTACCACTAACTTTTTCTATATCGATACGTATCACGATACTTGAGCCACGATGTATCACAATATGTTGAATTGGTTATAAAATTTTTTTTTGTATTAAAACGAACAAAACATTTCTTCACAAATAAGAATAATGGCTTTATTCAAAGAAGTTGTATACCTGTTGTAAAAGAAAATAATTTTACGCAAGTGGTGTTAATTATTATGTATTTCATATTTATATTAATATTTAGCATATTATATCATATATTTAACCCAAAATGTTAAGTAAACAGAGAAAAACGTAAGTTAGAACTTTTTTGCGATATTTCGATATTTCTTCATACGTATCAATATGCGTATCATCCTCACATTGAATCGATATTATCAATAACTCGATATATTGTCCCAGCCCTACTATAACAGTGCACTAACAAATTCAAAAAGCCTTAAATTAAGACTACCGGTAAACAAGTACTATGAACAGTGATTTTTTTTTTGGCATTGTGTATATAATATTGATAGGTTTATTCTAACTATTTTATCTGAATATCATTAAGTATATATATACTGTCATTTTATTAATATACTGTCCATCTACAAAAATCAAGTAAATCCCATTTTTTCCCTTTTGTAGACTGAAGACTATGAGTCACCAGTGGAAGATGACACATCTTCCGTTATATCTGCTGTCCAGGCATTTAAGGACTCAGGTGACACAACCTCCCTGTCCAGTTCTGACAGCAATCGCACAGATCGTAGTGCAAGATCCAAACAGAAGTGAGTTATTCATATTTCATGCCACATTACGTCTTTGTAACTTTCTGTGATCCCTTTCAGCTAAAAACCAAAATAATTTACTTTGAAAAAGCAGACAAAAGTAGATGATTATATTCTTATACAATCTGACTATTGATTTGTTACTTTACAGGAAGAAAATTGATATACAACAAACAGTACATGGTTCAGTTTTGAAACCCAACCGTTTAAAAAATATAGCAGCTCAACTTCACAGTGCAGCTGTTAGTAATACATGTATATATTAATCTACAAACTGTACATTTCATTTGTTAAAATATTTGGATAAACTATAGTTTATCAAGGGAGCTTAAAGCCCAAGTTTCTTTAAAAATGAAAAAAAAAAAAATACATATTTGTTTTTCAAGATGAAGCTTTTCATAACAAGTCATTAACTCTTTATGTTTCATTTGATTTATTGTCCATCTGTTAACAGGAGAGAGTTGATGCAGGAATGCCAACAGCAATGGTATAATTAGTGTGAATTTCATTTGTTTTTCTCTCAAAGTAAATTACTAAAACATTGATTATGTAATGCACATCTGAAGTCTCTTATACTGCAACTTTTAATTAAGAAAATGATTTCATAATCTTTTATGATTGATGTATAGGCTACATATGCTCTCATTTTCAGGCTGTTTCATCACTGATTGCCATTGGAACCTCACATGGACTTGTCCTGGTGTTTGGTAAGACGAAACAATTTCGACATCTTGGAGTTTCTTTTCCTTTTTTTTTTTTGGAAGTGATCTATTATATCACCTTTCTTCTGTTTCCTACAGATCCCAAACAGGTGTTGAAATGGTGTCTAGGGAGTACCGCTGTGGGCCAGCAGTATGGGTCAGTGTCTGCCCTCAGCTTCAACAAAGACTGCACCAGGCTTCTCTCTGGTTTTGCCAAAGGACAGGTGAGAATTTAGAACACTAATGAAGGACTAAAAAGACTTATCCCAGGGATATATGGGATGGATGGAAATGGGACTTCACAAATGAATTTGCATTGGCAGGAATTTGACAATTTTGATATTGTTTTAGATAACAATGTGGGATTTGACCAATGGAAAACTGCTGAGGACAATTACAGATGCTCACCCACCAGGATCAGCTGTCCTTCATGTCAAAGTAAGACTAATACGATGAATAAAACACTAGATATGTCTTGACCATATTTTCCTACTGGATGTCGTTTTAATAAGCTTTGTCTTCAAAAGAAGTCTTTGTTCAGTTTACAGACAGTCCAGTTTTAGCTGTGTGTAGTGACAGTGGGGGATCTGTGTTTGAACTAGAAATGAAGTATGTTATATTTCTGATATCTTTACTACAGGAATGTTTTTACACAATTATTTTTAAATACTGTAAACGAACTGTTTTCCACGGGATCATAATTCTACAGAATCTCAATTTCTGTTTAATCCGCGAGTAGAAAATGTCGCGGATTTCTTAGACTTTCACTATATGCCTTACATGTGTATTATGTACACTAGCTGCGACAAATTTCCATAGAAAATTTGTGACGACAAATTTTCTCAGAAAATTTGTGACCACGTATATGGCATAAATTAATACCACGCGGAAAAAAGTACTTCAACAGTACACATATTTTTAACATATACTTGTATTTTCTTCATTCAAAAGTTAAAGTTTGTCATTGTTTTAAAGAAAAAAGATTTCTTGATCTGTGATTATTGAATTAATCATAGAATTGCTCGATTGTTATTTCAGACGATTGATTGGAGTGCGTACCTGTGAATCAAAATGTCTGTTTTCTGGGAGGTGATTATTTTGATGTTATTCTCTGTAATGCACGAGTGTGCTAAGAGTGATGTTAGATGAAACAAGAAATTTTTTCTGTATAATCTATTTTTTTGTACTGTGTTGTGCTTCAAAACTTTATGATTAATTTAATTTCTCTCACTATCGTTCTCAGTCGAGGAGAAGTCTGTGTGGTTGAACCCCTGCACATGAACCTTACCATCAAAGATCATCCAATGCAGGATGTCATGGTGGTTGCTATGGCAACATTATCTAAAGTAGGTCAATGGTTCTTTAATGTCAAATTTTAATCCCTCCAATAAAAAGGACAGATTTATTTCTTGTGTTGAACATGTTCTTCTTTTCAGTATAGGTGAATCAGTATATTTTTTTCCTTCAGGTTTTGTTGGTAACACTGAGACCCCAATTGAAAGTTGTTTTTACTCATCCCCTTAAGGTGAGATTATTTTTAGATTGATGTTACTGGATTGTCAGTAGCCTCTCTTTGATTGCATGAGTGTATCATAGAACTCTTTTAATATATAGAATGATGCTTTTCTATTCAGGAAATTGTGATCACCTGGCATTTGTATTTAATTAATATAATTACATATGCTTATACATATACCATGATATTATCATTTATAGAATTATGTTAATATTTATAGAATTGTCACTACTTGTATTAATTTTATAGAGTTCTTTTACTATTTATTAGGGATGGCAATTTGTAACCGGTTAACCAATTAATCGGTCAGAACAATGGTAATCGGTTAAGAAATCTGTAATCAGTTAATCGGAAAAAGTGAAAATATGTGTAAATTTCCTTAAAATTCAATTTGCAATTTAAAAAAATCTATGAATGTTGATAAGTTTAAACGTTTTCACATACATGTATTTAGATTTAATTTATTAGGACTCTTCGGACTGGGGTGTTGGGGTAATTGGTCAATTTGTGAAGTGTTAATTGTTGTTTATACATCAGACCGTTCCCAGCTCGTCCTATATTTTTTTAATAATAATAATTAAATCACTGTTGAGTATTGGGAACAGATTATATTCTTTATCTTTTGCAGTTTTCTGTCAAATTATATTTTTACAAACGTTGTAAATTAAGTGATAGTTAAAAGAGGTTCGTTCCTGAGCTTTTGAGCAGATTTTAGTCTTGACCTCTATTTAAAAAAAACCTGCGCATTGTTTTAGTTCTTATAATAAATTTGGATTGTACAATGCAAAATAAACTATATTCAACTAAAACTCCATGATTTAATTGAGCTATGTGTGCAGATTCTAAAAATATACTTGATAAAAACTTCTCAATACTTTTGAAAGCAGGATCCAACCTCCTTAAACTTTGTTTCTGTTTATGGTGACAATGCAGAATGACCGTATGTAATGTTTGGGGGTCGTCAGAAAGATATCTATGTCCTTGATACATGTATCTCATGTATGTTTTATGGACTTCTTTTCGAAATTGAATTAAAATACGTAAAGTGTATACATATGAAGCATAAACAGAATATTACTAATGCCATTTTTCTTTTCTTTTTATATATATATATTAATTTATTAGGGGTGTATGAATAGAATTAATTTTAAAAAACAATGACTGGAAATGTGTATTTTGTTACGATTAACCGGTTAATCGGTAGGAACATCTTACGATTAACCGATTGGCAATTCTCTATTCAATTGCCATCCCTACTCTTTATAGAATTCTGTTACTGTATAAAGAATTGTGCCACTATTTATAGAATTGTGTTACTATTTATAGGGTAGTCCCACCAGTCTCCCACTGCTTGCCTGGCAGTTTGTCATTATCCAGGTGTCAGAGAGGGACAGAGTCATAGACCCAGTACTGGTGTTTGCTAGGGAATCTACTATCTATTTTTACCAGGTATATGTATAGACAAATCAGAAACTCTGAAATCCAATAGCTAATGCACAGGCACATAAGATAATGCACAGGAACACATGATAATGCAAAGGTATGAGAGCTGTTGAACAGTCTCCTGAGTATTTATTAATACCATATAATTGTTGATTCTAGGTGATCTGTAGTAATGCCCAGGACATAAAATGTACAGGTTTACAGAAGATCAAGGTACCTTACAAGATGCTGGCTGTGGCTGTAAGTATCATAAAGTACATTATATGCATAATATATTGAGTTGAATGGCTAGAGAAATTTTAGATTAAAATGTTTTTGCATTGTAGTGGATGAATCCAAGAGTCCTGGTTGCCTTGGATACAAATGAAAAAATGCATGTCATTGATGTCAGGTCTGAAGAGGAGCTGGAGGTTAGCTGCGGCATTTATTATCATAGAGACATAATCTTGAAAGTTGAAAATGCATACATGTAATATTTGGAAAACCTGTTTAGATGTTTTGTTTGGAAGGGGGGGGGGGGGAGACTTCATATATGATTAGAAGCTTTGTACTTATATTGGGGGTAAGAATTTTAAATCAAATATTTTTATTCTTACAACTTGCTGTTTGTATGCCTGAAAATTCATTACAGGTAGTGGATGTGTCTGATGTACAGTTGGTGTATAATAACAGTCACTTCAAGTCCCTGGCTACAGGAGGCAATGTCAGTCAGGCTCTGGTAAGTTAATCATTACAAGCCCCTGGCTACAGGAGGCAATATCAGTCAGGCTCTGGTAAGTTAATGGCTACTGGAGACAATGTCAGTCAGGCTCTGGTAAGTTAATCATAACAAGTCCCTGGCTACTGGAGGCAATGTCAGTCAGGCTGTGGTAAGTTAATCATAACAAGTCCCTGGCTACAGGAGGCAATGGTCAGTCAGGCCCTGGTAAGTTAATCATAACAAGTCCCTGGCTACAGGAGACAATGTCAGTCAGGCTGTGGTAAGTTAATCATAACAAGTCCCTGGCTACAGGAGGCAATGTCAGTCAGGTTGTGGTAAGTTAATCATAACAAGTCCTTGGCTGCTGGAGGCAATGTCAGTCAGACTCTGGTAAGTTAATCATAACAAGTTCCTGGCTACAGGAGGCAATGTCAGTCAGGCTGTGGTAAGTTAATCATAACAAGTCCCTGGCTACAGGAGGCAATGTCAGTCAGGCTGTGGTAAGTTAATCATAACAAGTCCTTGGCTGCTGGAGGCAATGTCAGTCAGACTCTGGTAAGTTAATCATAACAAGTCCCTGGCTACAGGAGGCAATGTCAGTCAGGCTGTGGTAAGTTAATCATAACAAGTCCCTGGCTACAGGAGGCAATGTCAGTCAGGCTGTGGTAAGTTAATCATAACAAGTCCTTGGCTGCTGGAGGCAATGTCAGTCAGACTCTGGTAAGTTAATCATAACAAGTCCCTGGCTACAGGAGGCAATGTCAGTCAGGCTGTGGTAAGTTAATCATAACAAGTCCCTGGCTACAGGAGGCAATGTCAGTCAGGCTGTGGTAAGTTAATCATAACAAGTTCCTAGCTACAGGAGGCAATGTCAGTCAGGCTGTGGTAAGTTAATCATAACAAGTCCCTGGCTACAGGAGGCAATGTCAATCAGGCTGTGGTAAGTTAATCATAACAAGTTCCTGGCTACAGGAGGCAATGTCAGTCAGGCTGTGGTAAGTTAATCATAACAAGTTCCTGGCTTCAGGAGGCAATGTCAGTCAGGCTGTGGTAAGTTAATCATAACAAGTCCCTGGCTACAGGAGGCAATGTCAGTCAGGCTGTGGTAAGTAAATCATAACAAGTCCCTGGCTACAGGAGGCAATGTCTGTCAGGCTGTGGTAAGTTAATCATGACAAGTCCCTGGCTACAGGAGGCAATGTCAGTCAGACTGTGGTAAGTTAATCATAACAAGTCCCTGGCTACAGGAGGCAATGTCAGTCAGGCTGTGGTAAGTTAATCATAACAAGTTCCTGGCTACAGGAGGCAATGTCAATCAGGCTGTGGTAAGTTAATCATAACAAGTCCCTGGCTACAGGAGGCAATGTCAGTCAGGCTGTGGTAAGTTAATCATAACAAGTCCCTGGCTACAGGAGGCAATGTCATTCAGGCTCTGGTAAGTGAATCATTCTATTTGTTTCCTTTTGTTATGGGAATATTTAAAGTATAAATACAGAAGTTAATCCCTAGTGATGACAGAATACTCCTTCCTCATGTGTAGTTACCTCAGGTATATGTATAGACTTTTTTATCTCAGCTAGGATGATGTGTTCCTGGTTCTGTTTGTTAGTGAACATTGCTGGAGTTCAGTGCCATTTCTAAGTTCATGCTGGGACACATGTTCTTCAAAATCTCAAAGAAAAAAAATTAACCAATGCTGGGTCATGTAACTGGCTATAACTGACATTTGTGTTAAGATTTTTACAGAGCTGTGGATCAGGAGGGGATATTTTTATCAAAGGAGGATAAACTTAGTCCAGACAGTTTTGTGCAATTTTGATTGTTAATTTACATAAAATCCACTTTTCTGTTGACAATGGATTTATTTTCTCTATGTTCAGGCGATGGCTGGGGAGGAGGCCTGCTACCAGACCGTGGTTGGTCACAATGGTCAGTTACTGTTGCTAGGTACCAAGGCTGTGTATGTCTACATGCTACGCAGCTGGAGGGAGGTAAGGCAGTGGTCAATTCATAGCAGTCAAGAAAAGATATACACTGTAGAACAGGGTATTCCCAAAAGAATGACAGTAACTACAATGAAAATCTTACTGCTTACATATATATTGAATCAGAATGTAAAAATCTTCAATTCTCTGCAAGTTTACTGAATATGACCTATGATCCTATGAAGAATCACTTTCATAAAGGTTACAAGCAGTATTTCATTTTTGTCATCATTTACCGTTATGAATCTACTGCAACCAACTGTAATTAAAGCTTACTTTGTATGTATGTTTGTATGTGGATATGTATTGTATTTTCAGCGTATTGATGTTCTGGTGAAGCGGAATAAATACAATGAAGCCTTGGCTCTGGCATTGTCATTTTATGATGGTCGAGCCAAAGCCGTCATTGGACTCAGTGGGTCCTCAAAAATCAAAAGGGAAATAATTTCTAGTATGGTAAGCTAAAGTTTGATGTAAAATGTAAATAATTAAAATCTAGATATTATTTTTTATGCATGCAGAAAAACAGAACCAGTTTATAGTAAATTACTAACTTCTCTGTTTATATCTGTATTTATCAATCTCCCAAGGTCAAAGTATACTGTAAAATCACATATTTTTGTGGGGGCAAATTTTCTTGATTTGAAGGGGGATTGGTTCATGGGGATTGAATTTCATGGTAAGAAATGCAAGATTGTTATATATTTTTGAAACTGATTTTTTAAGGAGGACATGAATTAAGAGGTCTTTCCATACCACAAAAACAAAGAAAATCTAATTATGTTCTCTTTCGCTTCGCTCAGCTGAACATAAATTATTTCCTATTCTTTTTACATAAATAAAAACTCAAACACAAATATTGGAGGAGGCGACAATGTTAGCCAGATTTAATAAAACAGATTTGTACAAATGTAAACGTGTCCATTGGAGTAGTCTTGCAGCCCAGGTTGGAAGAAAAGCACAAAGGCAGTCCTGGAATAGTCCCAAAGATACTATGCAACTCCAGGCTAGGAATCAGATCAACTTTAAAGAAACTGAACAACAATCTACAAAATAAATCTGCTTCATTATTATATGAAAGTAAAATTTTCGGAAAACTGATAGGTCGTGGCTAACTTGTCGAATGGCAATAGAACTTAAAACATGAGTTTAAATACCCTTAGATCGAATTACTACGTGCCACAAAATAGACCCCGAATGTGATTTAAATTAATATAGCGCTTAAGTGACATCAATAGAAAGTATACTGACAAGATACATATTGCCTAGATAGCCGAATCAATATACCTGCCGCCGCTCACGCCGAAGCAACCAGGATCGACCCCACAGAGCATCAAACATTTTTTTTTTTAATGTAACCGAAAAGAAATTTATACCTCCATAAAATATTTTTTTAATGATTTCACTGTATTCAATATTGTACATGTAATTTGTAACATTGTAAATGAATTCTTCATTGTGTAGTTCAAATCCTGTTATTGTTCTGGGCTTAAAAGTCAAAATTGATGTTAGCATTTTCCTATTTTCACACTCCTGGGTTATTTTTCTCAAATCTGAAGGATCAGTATAATATTTGAGTGTTTCATGTCAAAATTCTTTTAGGAAAAGAGATCAAGAATTATGTGTATAGATCCTTGATTATAATTCTTCTGGACAGGATGGGGAGTTTAAGGACAATTGCATGTACACTTTAGCACAAAGTAAAGCTTATTTGTTGTCTTTACAGATGTTAGATCTCCTGTTTGAGTACGTAGACTTGTCCATGACAACACTGTGTCCAGAGAAGGGGAAGATGGAGGAGCTGGAGGCTTACTATCAGGTCTGTAAATGCTGTTAACATCTTGTTAATACTGTAAACATCCTGTAAATACTGTAAACACCCTTTAAATACTTTAACATGTAAATACTGTAAACATCCTCTAATACTGTAAATATCCTGAGAATTCTAGGATCTGCATTCTGTTTAATTACAGATATTGATTCCTTGCAGTTGGATAAAAAAATCAACACTTATTGTATTTAGCTCATTAATGGTTAGAATCCAAAGAATAAAAAATAGAGCAAAGGCCTTACTATAATTCAGGCATTGAACATGAAAAAAATTGTTTAAGCTTGAAAAATGAAAATAGAATTCAATGAATGCTCCAGTAATTCTTGCACCTATTAAGCATTTTTTCAGTTTATCTAAATTTTAGTTTATTAAAAATGATGATGTTTTCCTTAAAAATCAATTCTTAATTCAAAATTTTTCAGAATATTGTTCCTGTATGTGTTGATTACTGTTTACATCTCAACAGAACGTAAGTATTTAATGTTGTTGATGCCATAAAAATATTTATTATATGGTTATAGGTTCTTTACAGTATACAGTATTTTTTTTTAGAATTTCAGAAATATGAAAGGCTGAAATTCGCTTGTTATTGTTGATTTTGTTGACACAAATGTTTTAAACTTTTATTTCAGTGATATTTTGTTCGGGAGGATCTATGACAGATTTGCTGTAGACTACATTGCCCGGGGGACATTTCTGGAGTGTCTGGAGCCGTACATCCTCAGTGACAAGCTTCGTTCCATCCCTCCCAGTGTAATGAAGGACCTTGTGGAGCACTACCAGGATAAAAACATGTTAGAGGGAGTGGAATCCTGCATAGTTCACCTGGAGGTCACAAGTCTGGATATACACCAGGCAAGCTATAATCGCTAGATTTCATTTATGTATTGAATGAATTATTCAGGTGCTTATTCACATTTAAATCTGATATTTTAAAAACTGATATAAATTTACATTATACTATGTTAAAAAGAAAATACATGATCATGCAGTGTCTGAAAAGATTATAAAATGAATGTGTTCAGAGAAGCTTAATTAGGGCTTCACTCTTCCATACAGTGATAGTCTGCCTCCATTCATCTGTCTGTCCTTCAATCTGTCTCTTGGTCTGTCTGTCCAATTTCAGTTGTCCAGATATTATTTTCTCTTCCCTTGGACCAGTTGGGCTCAAACTTAACCCAGAGAGTGCCCACAGGTAGAGCTTTTGCAGTGATGTCGAACCAATTTTCTTGATCAAAAACAAATTTGAAAAATTTCTCAATGTAAAATCCTTGTCCAGAGCATATTTTGTCTCCCCTTGGCCCAGTATGGCTCATACTTCATCCAAAGAGTGTCTGTGTGGATGGTGTGTAGTGGACTTTAAATGAATCAATTTTCTAGATCATAAGTCAAGGTTGAAAAAAACCTCTTTGTGCAAAATCCTTGTCTGGAGATATTTTCTCTCCTTTTGGTCCTTCCTGATTCAAACTTAACTTGTAGAGTGTGTAATGGTAGACTATGTGTGGTGTCCTTCAGCTAAGTTTCTATTATAGTGATCAAGGTTATACATGTAGTTACTGTAAATCTCTGTAATTTTTTTTAAACCCCCGCAAACGAAGTTTAGGGGGGTATATTGGAATCAGCATGTCTGTCTGTCTGTCCATCTGTCCGTCTGTCTGTCTGTCTGTAGACGAGATTTTGTCCTGACCATTTCTTGGAAACTGTTGCAAGGATTTCTCTGAAAATTTGTACACTTATTATTTGCCATATGAAGGTGTGCACCTGGTATTTTCATCATGATTGGATAATTTTTTTGCATTTTACAGGTGTGTTTTTTTTCATTTTTATGTTCCCCAAACGAAGTTTGGGAACATATTGTTTTTACTATGTTTATTATTATTATTATTATTATTATTATTCTTTTTTTTCTACTTTCTTCTCCGGTACTTTTTTGTCCGGGAGTGTTCTCATAGAACCACTCATCCGATTGACATGAAACCTTTTTAGGGTTAATAGGCATGTTGTGTAGGTGTTCGGAACGAAGGTCATTTTGCGCGCACATGCATGCACGTGCGCGCGCGTGCAATGAGTGAAATGACTGATATACTTGATGAAGCCGTAACTTTTATATTTCTTGATGACTTGCTTTGAAACTCAAAATATAAAGATATATTAGTAGTCTAGACAAGATAACATGGTCAAATTAGCGTGAACTCACGCGCATGCACGTGCGCTCTTCTCTGATTGGCTGATACAAAAATCTCAATAATTTCCTTCTTTTTTGACAAAATACTTTGAAATTTAGAAGTATATATTATAAGGTGCTACAGCATGTTATATAGGAAATTTCTTGAACACACGCGCATGCAGGTGTGCTGCAATCTGATTGGTTGAAACTTTAAATGTCTATAACTCCCTTGGTTTTCAACAAAACAGGATGAAATTTACGACATGGATAGGCACATAGAGCTCCTACATTATGATACTATCAAAATTGAATGCAAGGCCATGCATGTGCGTATGCTGAATTCTGATTGGCTATTACTTAAAGGGTTACATCTCTCTTATTTTTCAATGAGATTCTTTAATATTTAACACAAATGTATGTATTGTGAGACACTATAAGAAAATTAATGTGAAAAATGTAGAAAACATGTGCAAGCACAGGCGCTGAAATTTGATTGGCTAATACCCATATGGCTATATCGGAGTAGTTTTCCAATGAAATACCCTTAAAAATAAAGTGTCCATCTATATTACAAAAGTATTGTTTAATTTATTGAAGCTTGTAGGGAATGGGGCATCATAAGGGATTGGGGAGCCGTTTGGGGAACATCTGTAACGGTTCCCGTTACAATTAGCACTAGTTATTATGTGGTTTTGTCCGGATCTGTTCCCAGAGACTATTGCATAGATTTGTATGAAAATTTGTACACTTATTATTTACCATATGAAGATGTGCACCTGGTATTTTCAACATTATTTGATAATTATTCTGCATTTTACAGGTGTTTTTTTTTTTCATTTTTATTGACTTAGTCATTTCGGGTTCATGTCTAAGGTTTGAGACATAGAATCTAGAACAACTGTACAAAAATGTGAACTACAGCTTAAAACTACTTATCAGAACTAAAAAAAAATCACAAAATATTAAAAACAGTTTTTACATTACACAGCAGATAGTGTAAATCTATTTGTCCCTTTGGAGTAATGAGTGGACATGCATCCAGTTAAAGATTAATTAATGAGTTCAGTGTGGGAAGCTGTTAGGGCATCTCTGATCAAGCAGGTCTTATCTATATCTCCTGGGAATTGGGCAGAAAGAACTAAAGATCTCTGTTGTCTAAGCCTCTTAATATTGTAATTTATGTCTGTCAAAATACATAGTTACTGAAACCAGCCTTTTATTTTTAAAATGAGTTTGATATAAAGGTATTAAGATCAATTTGACTTTGTTTAATTAATTATGATTTTTTTTTTCAACAATCAATTTGCAGAGTGTCATGTCTCGCAAAGATGACAGATAACTGCAAACTATTTTTTCAATGTAATTAAAAACACTGTAATTATTAGTATTGATGTTTTATTAGGCTGCACCTTAATTTCATTCATTAAAAAAAAAATATAATGAGTAATTAAATTTTCACTCTAATAACTCGGATCTGTTCCCAGAGACTATTGCATAGATTTGTATGAAAATTTGTACACTTATTATTTACCGTATGAAGATGTGCACCTGGTATTTTCAACATTATTTGTTAATTTTTCTGCATTTTACTGGTGTTTGTTTTTTTCATATTTATTGACTTAGTCACTTCGGGTTCATGTCTAAGGTTTGAGACATAGAATCTAGAACATCTGTACAAAAATGTGAACTATAGCTTAAAACTACTTATCAGAACTAAAAAAAAAATCACAAAATATTAAAAACAGTTTTTACATTACACAGCAGATAGTGTAAATCTATTTGTCCCTTTGGAGTAATGAGTGGACATGCATCCAGTTAAAGATTAATTAATGAGTTCAGTGTGGGAAGCTGTTAGGGCATCTCTGATCAAGCAGGTCTTATCTATATCTCCTGGGAATTGGGCAGAAAGAACTAAAGATCTCTGTTGTCTAAGCCTCTTAATATTGTAATTTATGTCTGTCAAAATACATAGTTACTGAAACCAGCCTTTTATTTTTAAAATGAGTTTGATATAAAGGTATTAAGATCAATTTGACTTTGTATAATTAATTATGATATATTTTTTTTCAACATTAAATCAATTTGCAGAGTGTCATGTCTCACAAAGATGACAGATAGCTGCAAACTATTTTTTCAATGTAATTAAAAACACTGTAATTAGTAGTATTGATGTTTTATTAGGCTGCACATTAGTTTCATTCATTAAAAAAAATATAATGAGTAATTAAATTTTCACTCTAAATGTTTAAGCAAGTTGTGAACACCTCTCACATCTAGAAAACATTAGTGATTTGGTACCTTCTCTGAAAAACCCAGCGAGGGTATTTGTCCCATTTGGACAGTTCTAGTTTCTTTAGTATCCTATTTATTTGTGTAGAACATATTTTCTCTAACCTTAGCCCTGTTGGACTCAAACTTAACCCATTGAATGCCCCATGGGTAGAGGATGTGCAGTGTCCTTGAACCAGTTTTCTAGATGAAAGGTCAAGGTCAAAAAACTTCTTTGTGTAAAATCCTTGTCCAGAGCATATTTTTCTCCCATTGGCCCTACTTGGCTCATACTTCACCCGTAGAGTGTCCATGGGTAGAGAATGTGAAGTGTTCTTGAGCCAAGCATCTTAGTTTGTGGTGAGGGTTAAAGCAAATTTGTAAAATTTCTTTTCTTGAGCATATTTTACTCTCCTTTTGACCCATTTAACTCAAACTTCACCCAAGAGTGTCCTTGGATTTCATCATTATGTCCTTTGCTAAAAGCAGGCTATTTGAGATGGTCACCAATTCAATATTGTCTTAGTTATTATCAGTAATTTAAACATTCTTGATACTAATACATTCTTGAATATTACCAGTGAATAAATTTGGAATGCAAGGTATATTTAAATGATACATTTTTCATTAAAATCAAATATTATGGTCCGAGTAACCAAGTTATCCATGTACCAAGGTACACAATTTCAGACTGTAGAGTATATCCTATTTGAATATTTTTATATTCAAACCTTGTTATCTCGATTTCGATGGGACCGAGCAAAAACTTCGAGATATCTGAGGATTTGAGATATCAAGGGTAAAATACTTAAAGAATAAGTGGTTGGGACTTCCAAATCACTTCGACATATCCATGGTATTCGAGATATCTGTGTTCAAGATATCGAAGTTCAACTGTATAGTACTTTTAAAATGTCAAATAATAAATTCATAACGTCTTCTCAAAACAGGTGGTGAATCTTTGTTGGTCCCATGGACTGTATGATGCCATCATTTATGTGTACAACAAAGGCATGCATGATTACACTACTCCATTAGAAGAACTGCTGGGCATTCTAAAACAAGCCGTCAGCACAGGGATTCAACTGACAGACGAACAGATAAGACTGGGGAACAAGCTGCTGGTGTACATCAGGTATGGTTTATTCTCTCTACAAAACAAGTACAAATATTGTACATAAACTTATTAAACCCCCGCTTGAAAAGCAGTGGGTGTTTAGTGATGGGAGTGTCCGTCCGTCCATCTGTTACGCTTTGGGATACACATCTCTTATCCGCAACTCCTCTTATACCACTGAATAGAATTTGATGATACTTTTACAGAGTATTTGTTACATAGTGCCATTGTGCACCTCCTATTTTACTTTTTGATCAGACAAATATTTCGGGTTTCCAATAGCACAACATAGAACACTGCCATTCTTTCTATAATATTGAGGGATACCCATCTCTTGTCCGTATATCCTCCTATACCACTGAATAAGATTTAATGAGACTTTCACAGAATCTTTATTACATAGTGCCATTGTGCACCTCCTATTCTGCTTTTTGATTGGACACTTATTTCGGATCTCCCACAGCAAAACAGTCATGGACTTTGCCATTTTAAACATATGGGAGGTGGGGAGTATCATTTGTGAGCTCAGTGCTCACAGTTCCTCTTGTTTAAGAATATATTCAAAATTCAGTGAAGATATAAGCCAGGAACTATTTGGAACAATTATGAAGTAGTACATATACTATTGATATTTACACATAAATTAAATACTCATTTGGAAGGGTCTCTTAAGACTATAACTTGTATTATTGTCAAAAATTCATTGTAACATCATTCATACAGTAACATCTCCATATTTTATCAATGTTACAAATTATGAATGGATTAAATTTTTTGTAAGCCATATTTTCTTTTGAAGTAAACACACAATGTTGGGTATACATCAACTTAAGTCTCAAAGCAGGGTACTTGACAACTATTCATGAAATTTCAAGAATTTTTTCAAGAAATACCTATTACAGTTTGAACATACAATCATTTCAGCTGCTGTTTAGCGGGAAGAGCTTATCCCCTGGGTGATATTCCAGAGGATATGGTGGCAGATGTGAAGAGGAATGTCTTTCAGTGTATCACTCGTTTGAGGGTTAAAGATGGTAGGCATATGAAATTATATGTTGTTGAAAATTACACGATAAAAATGTCAAAAATTTTGAAGTATTATTATTCATACATATTCATGGAAGTGCAAATGGCTAATGTTTTAAACAATGACCTAAATTCACAAATTTTAGAATTTTTAGACTGATTTTTTTTTTTGGAGATTGCCTTTATATATGAGTCATTTTCATTAATGGACATTGTTTGGAAAGGATATACATGTATAATTATATAAACTTTATTATTTGAAACTCAGTGCAGTCAAGAAAAAACTGAGTTATCCAAGGACTTTGAGATAACAAGGTTAAAAATACATAAAGAAAGAGTAGTAGGAACTTCCAAGTGACTTTGACATATCCATGATATTCAAGATATCCATGTTTGAGATAATGAAGTTCAACTGTATATGTACAAGTACATACATATGTACACTATACATGCATTACATACTTGTAGATGAATCCACTTACCCATATCTGAGAACACTGCTTCACTTTGATACAAGGGAGTTCCTCAATGTTTTAGCCTTGGTGAGTTGGATCAGTTTCCATTAAGCTACATGTATTAAAGTAGACAGTAATTTTAGATTTTTGAAAATATTTTTGTTTCATTTCTCTTATTTGGAATTTAAAAGTTTTATAAGGCAGAAAGAACCTAGGATCATGAAAATGAAGTTTTAATTTCTTTAATTCCTGACAATTTTTTAAAGTAAAGATGGAGATTACAATGAAATCAACTCAAATGTTGAGGACAAAAATTTCATAAAGGAAACAGTGATTGTCAATGTTAAAAGTTATCTTTCTTTGAAGAGTACCGTTCTTCCTTGCTAGAACAGTTGCCATGGTACCTAAATGATGATTGATTTTTTTTTTCAGGCTTTTGAAGAGAGAGAATTTAATACTGAAGAAGGGTAACACATTTTATTTTTCATGATTTCTTTATGTATTACAGCAGTTTAAGAATTAGAGGGCAGAGAAATTTTTTTTTTACAGAGCACATGAACATGTATAGACTTTTTTTATGTTAAGATATGTTTTTAAAAAAGCCATTATTCAAACTTGTACCATACTGTATTTTAAAACAAAAATGTTTGCAGTGTTGATGCTAAAAGTTTATCTTCAGATATCATGTGTTAGCAGGGTTAATGAAACAAGTTCAAATACAGTAAACTTCTTTTATAACGTATCTCAGGGGACTGTGATAAATCCTACGTTATAACCGGTGTACGTTATAAACGGAGACGGGAAGTACTCAGTACACCTTTACCGTAAGCACTTTTCAAACTGCTAGTGTGTTATTAATATTTTAAAGTATGTATAGTATGTAAATAAATGATTTACAGGTATATTTGGTTTCATGCCTTATATTAAGAAAGATTTAATATTCACTAACATTTTATTTTCACAAAGTATAAATTATTTCAAAATCACTTAAGTGCTGTACAATCTTGATCATCGTCAGATCATATAAAGAGTCCGTGATGTTTGTCTGTTTGGCCTGACGACATTTATTTACAAAAGTCTCCAGAGTTGCCAGAGTCGTGAAAACTTCGGACTAATGCCCTTTGATCGTCAGGGTAGATGGTATGCATGTGTCAGGCATGGCCTCGTCGTCGTCGCGGTCTAGTGATACTGAATCAATGTATTTTTCTTTCACTAGTTTAATTATATCATTTTCGGTTATATTGCTATTTACTGACTCAAAGGTGAATTTTTATTCAAACAATTATGAGTACATCTACTGGATGACCTTTATCAAACAATTATTAAAAATACATCTACCTGAAACAACAAGAAAACCTTGTTAGAAAATCACCCATTACGGAGAAGCTATGAAGTCAACAAACCGTGACTAATCTGCAGTCACTGAGCTGATAGAAAACTCTGAAAAGGTGTGAAACCACGTGTCAGAATACATTATAAGAGGTGTAATTATGTAACCGAGTACGTTATAAAAGAAGTTTACTGTACTGTGAAATCACTAATTTTCATACAATTTAATTTTCGTTGATTTTATGGTATGAAAAGACCATGAATTCATGTCCTCTAAGAAGTGCTAAATTGTAATTAAAACAATGCTATACTTCTTCAACCATGAAATAAAATCCCCACAAACCAATATATTTTTCTCAAACCCTGAATATTTGACCTCACGAAAATAAGTGATTTCAGGATACAGAATCGTCAGAGAGTTGTGGATATCCTTCTACAAGTGATGGTTGAAAGTGGGGAGTTCACTGTAAGTCTCTCATTAGGGATTCTTGAGCAGATTCTTTCAGATGTACTGTTACATCAATTGTTAAAAGAGTTCAGTTTTCATTGGAAAAAAAGAGATTGAAAGAAGGTATTTAGAATTTTTTTTATGAATTCTCAGAAATCAATCAAGATGTTTTCAGTTAAAGTTGTAGAATGTTATGGAGAATGGAATATTGTTCGACATTAATGCACACATACCTGTACATACATTTACAGCAATAAAAACATATGTGACAAATGATATTTGAAATTTCTGCATTTAATATGATTTGAAGCGCAGGTGAAGTCTTCAGATAGTTTTTTCTGTTTTGTAGCCCACACAGATAGGAATCCTTTTCACGTTTCTAGCCAGACAGATGGCCTGTCATGAAAACACAATCCTCGTCAACAGAGTCCTGTTTGAACAGGTGCTTTATAATTATCAAATGGAAAATAGATGATGAAAATTAGATTTATAGCTTTGTTATATAAGCTAATCAAAGTTTGTAATTAATGATTTTTTTTAATACTGACTTCTCATATGATACTGTAAACCAACTATTATTCAGGTCATCTTTCATTTGCAATTCAGCAGTTTGAAATCAATCCGCAACTATTAATTTTCATGACCTAGGAAACATTCTCTACAAATACAAAGCAAAATAAATGGTTTGGAGCGATGAATATTTGCGAGTTAAAGAAGGTCACGAAACTCGCAGATATTTATCACGTGAATAAAAGCTGGTTTACAGTAAAATGAATAGTATGTTTGACCTTGTTTATGAGGACAATATTGTTGGTGTTCCAGGTCTTAGAGTTTTTAGCTAACCCTGAGGATGACTCCCGCCATGAGGAGAGACAGCAGGCTCTGATGGAGCTCCTCCAGGCAGGGGGATTAAAACAGGTGGATGAGGAAAAGTTACTGTCTATGGCTGAGAATGCCAAGTTGTGAGTAATGTTTATTTCCTCCCTGAAGTATTCCATTATCAAAATACATTCAGTTGAACTTCACTATCTTGAACACGGCTATCTCGAATACCTTAGATATGTCAAAGTCATTTGGAAGTCCCAAGCACTTTATCTTTAAGTATCTTACCCTCAATATCTCGAACCCTTGGATATCTCGAAGTTTTTTCTCAGTCCCATCGAGTTTGAGATAACGAGGTTTGACTGTATTTTACAACTAATGGTTAGGTTAGTAATCTGTGAGTTTTCATGAAGAGAATGGACATAACATTTTTAAAAAAATCAGTAAAATAAATATTGAAGCCCTTGAAATCTATTTTATTAGCTCTTCTGAGCCAAAGGCTCAAAGAGCTAATGCTATGGCCATTTGTGCGGTGTGCGTAAACTTTTTAGAATATGGGCCATAACTTAAGAACCCCTTGGCCAATTATTGTCAAATTTGTCACAGGGTATCCTTGGCCCAAGGGCTCCCTTTTATACTAAAACTGGGGTTGTGACCCTTTAACAAGGGGAGATAATTAGGAAAATAGAAACAAAAGTACTGGTTGCTAAAAAATCTTCTTCTCAAGAACCACTGGGCAGATTATCACCAAACTTACACAAAAAGATGAGGATATGTTGTAGATTAAAATTTGCACGGGGATTTACCCTGGGGCAAAGGGCGTGGTCTCAAGGTCACTTCAAAGTTGACCAAAAATTACATTTTATTAAAATGTTGATATTTTGCTTACTATAAGGACTAGGACCATCAAATCTTGTCAGTTGGTGCATCTAAGGACCTCATATCATGTTGACTCAAAAGTAGGTCACGGTGACCTACTTTTTAAATTTTGCGGCCATTCTTTTTCAAAATGATTTAGAGGCATATTTTGAACAATTTAAGGCCTATGATCATCAAACTTTGTCAGTTGATGCATCTTGGGTCCTCAAAGTACGTCAACTAAAAAGTAGGTCACCTTGACCTACTTTTTGAATTTTATGGCTAATCTTTTTTAAAACAATTAAGGTCATTAATTCGAATACGGGGAGGCTTAGAATCATTAAATCTTGTTAGATGATGCATCTTGGGGCCATAAAACATATTTATTAAAAAGTAGGTCACAGTGACCTACTTTTTGAACTTCGCAGGCATTCGATTTCAAAGCGTTTTAGAGGCATAATTTGGACATTTTAAGTCCTATGATCATAAAACTTTGCAAGTTGATGCATCTTGGGTCCTCAAAAAAGGTCAACTGAAAAGTAGGTCACCGTGACCTACTTTTCAATTTATATGACTATAATTAAATATTTCAGGTACTAATTGGCTTAGAATCATAAAACTTTGTCAGTTGATGCATCTTGGGTCTTTGGAGTAGGTCGACTAAAAAGTAGGTCACCGTGACCTACTTTTGAAAATTTATGGCTTTAATTAAATATTTGGGGTACGAATTGGCTTAGAATCATCAAACTTTGTCAGTTGATGCCTCATGGGTTTTCGGAGTAGGTCGATTAAAAAGTAGGTCACCATGACATACTTTCGGAAAATTTATGGCTTTAATAAAATATTTTGGGTACTAATTGGCTTAGAATCATAAAACTTTGTCAGTTTAAGCGTCATGGGTCTTCGAAGTACAACAACTGAAAAGTAGGTCACGGTGACCTACTTATGAAAATTTATGGCTTTAGTCAAATATTTCGGGTACTAATTGGCTTAGAATCTTTAAACTTTGTCAGTTGATGCATCTTGGGTCCTCGGAGTACAACAACTGAAAAGTAGGTCACGGTGACCTACTTGTGAAATTTTATGGCTGTATTTAATATTTTCAGGAATTATTTGGCTTAGAGTCGTCAAAATTTGTCAGTTGATGCATCTTTGGTCCTCGGAGTAGGTTGACTGAAAAGTAGGTCACCGTGACCTACTTTTGAAAATTTATGGCTGTAATTAAATATTTTGGGTACTTATTGGCTAGAATCATCAAACTTTGTCAGTCGATGTATCTTTGGTCCTCGGAGTACAGCAACTGAAAAGTAGGTCACGGTGACCTACTTTTGAAAATTTATGGCTTTAATTAAATATTACAGGTACTAATTGGCTTAGAATCATCAAACTTTTGCATCTTGGGTCCTTGGAGTAAAACAATTGAAAAGTAGGTCACTTTGACCTACTTATAAAATTTTATGGTTATAATTTTAAAAAAATATTTTAGGTATTAATTGGCTTAGAATCATCAAACTTGGTTGATGGGTCTTCAGAGAATGACAAGTGATAAGTAGGTCACCATGACCAACTCTCAGGTACTAATTGGCTTAGAATCATCTTGGGTTCTCAGAGTGTGAATTGGAATTTCAAGGGTTTATCTAAATATACAGGATACTTCGAGGCTTCAAATAGAAGTGATAGGTTGTACAGTTTATCAGAAGAGCGATTCAAGGCCCATGGGCCTCTTGTTCACTCAGCTATCGAGTCTGTGAGTTGCTGTATGAAAAGAGAAGACAATTTGACAAGATTTTATCCTGTTACCTGAGAGATCCCTCAAGAAAGGTACTTGTATTGATTCAAAAGTTTTATAAAGTCATATGTTGCCCCAAAAAAAGTTATAAAAACCATAGATTCACCCAGGACATGCATATTCGTGTTTGTATGCTATCTGTAAAAGTGTTGTGTTTCATGGCTTAAAGCCACTTTACAAGTCTTTCTGTCTTTTGTCAGTATCATGCCTTCAGCTACATCACCAGCATACTGAACAGTGAAAGATTTACAAAGGAGGAACAAGAAAGGCTAAAAGAAGAGGCTTTTAGTCACTTAGAGGTAACAAACCAATAAAAATCTGTCACTCGCAGGAAACTAACCAATCAAAATCTGTCACTCGCAGGAAACAAACCAATCAAAATCTGTCACACAGAGGTAACAAACCAATCAAAATCTGTCTATATTTGACACAGTTCTCCTAAACATGTGACAGAGTAGCTGAGTTGAACTTTACCTACCTATAAACTTTTGCAGGAACTAGTTTCCATTGATTGTAAACAAGCAGCTCAGATGGTGATTTCTACCATGCCCAAAAATTTGGGAGTAGTCGCCAATAAAATGAAGAGTAATCCTAAGATTTTGTTTGAGTTCCTGAAAGGAGTGATGTCATACAGGTACGTTATTTCTGTAAAATTTGAAGAAGTTACATATGTATTGCTAGGGTGTGTGGTAGACATAGGGATCCCTTTCCCTGTGTTAATCTTTGTGGCATTTTGCCTTCACTATAACATCACTTTTTCATGAATTTTCATGGGAGTAATTATTATAAAAAGATGTTGCACAAAAATGATGAATGTAAAAGTAACACTGAAGTCCAAGATTCCTTATCATAAACAAACGAATGGAATGAACTTATTTTTACACTTATTACTTCACTTCTGCAATTCTTAAATTTACTGCATTTTGCAAACAAACAGGCAGGATTATTATATTATATTAACTAAAGTGTAAAATTTAAAGAAAATTTCCCTTTCCACTGTATATACAAAAATGAATTGTGTATTTTTTATGACCTTTTTCTAAATTAATTTAACATCCCCCCCCCTTTTTTTTTTACATGCATCTTTAAATCAAGCAAGCATTGTGGCCCATGGGACCCTTATTGCATGTACCGTTATGTCTAATAGTGTCATTCTGTTTGATACATGTCACAGTCTGTTTGATACATGTCACAGTCTGTTTGATACATGTCACAGTCTGATATATGTCACAGGGAATCTGGTAGCAGTGCCATACACACTGACAAACAGGTGAATGTGGAGCCATGGATCCTAGAACTGTATGTGGATCTAATGTGTCAGTTCAGGCCCCAAGATGTGTATAATTTTATCAAGCTTAATGAGGGATACAGGCTGGAACAAACACTGGGGGTAAGTGCTTTCTTTCTAAATCAATCAATCAATCAATCAATCATTGATTCAGTGAATGATACTGTATTTAGAGTTTATAAAAATAGTTTTAGTAATATATCAGTATTCCTCCCTGATTTAGATATTTCAGCAAGATGATCTCAAATATTGTATTAAAAAAGATCAAATTAAGACCTCATCATCTAAAATTGCTGTTGATTTATTATACATGTAAAATAAGATGAAAAATTGATTATAGGCATGTTAAAATATTTTGTAATACTAGTATTAATAGCTGTATTTCATGTAATGGAAATTGTCCTACCTATGACACAGATCTGTAGAAAACACAAGCACTCGGAAGCCACAGCATACCTACTGGAGAAAGCGGGGGACATTCAGGGGGCATTTGGAATCATACTGACTGTAAGACATTGGACAGCTTATTTTTATTTATTTATATATACAATGTATAAACTAAAGCATTCTACAGGAAAGTTTTGTTGTAAATGTATACATACAAGTATATATTTCATGGACACCTGTATTTTTGATAATTTTAGAACCTTCAGAACAAACTGAAGTTACTGACCAATGAGCTGCTGACACCGGATTCAGAGAAAGGTATGTACAGCTCTAGGATTGATTTCTTTATGAAGTTAGTGTGTTGCCAATCATACTTGTGCAATAATTATGTATGTCACAGTTGTTAAAAAGTAAATCTTGATATGAAAATGAACCCAGAGTCCCCTAGTGCAGCATGCCCTGTACACAGTCTTGCAGAGCTGTCATTACTATAATTGACTTATATAAAGTAGGAAGTCATGACATCTTTGATGTTTTACCATTACATGTACACATTGTAAAATTCATATAAAGTGCTTTTTTTCTGAATACAGATGTCACAGTACAGTTCCAGGAAGTAGAGACCCTTATTGTAGTGGTCATACAGTTGTGTCAAAGGAACTCTGGGAAAATGGATGAGGCTGGCCGAGAGGTAATCATATCAACCCCAACCCCCAAACCCCCCAACCCCCCAAAAAAGGAAAAAAAAATTCTTGTTAAAAAATATCATGTAACAAAAATGAAAACTCTAAGTTTCCAGAAGTAGTGTTTGAAGCAGATACTGTATGTGTACTTAAAAAAGCGAGCTTCATATTTTAGCGCCTTTGCCACAGACAACAATGCTAATTAATGAATACCGTTAATAAATCATTAATAAATACATCATGATGGCGCAAACGTATGTAGAGCTAATTCAGGATTACGCCAAACACTCCATACCCAGTGATTCTGCTAAATTTTGAATACGCCAATTTATGTACATGATTACTTAACCCATTCAATATGATATGCCTGTATTTTTCAGTCTCTTTGGTTCCCTCTACTTGAGACTGTCATGTCACCACAAAGAAAACTAAAAGATATAAACAACAAACAGATTCAAGAAGGTACATGTCTTTTACTTCATTGAAAAATGTTTTTATATTATATGCTTTTATCAATTAACAGAAGTCTTTGTTCAGAATGAATCTATTTTAAAAATTGAATTTTGAATTGAATTAAATTTTTCATTATTTTGCCATTCCCCAAGTAGGAAATACTTGATTTTTTTTTAAGTAGGAAATACTTGATTTTTTTTATCAACATTATGGATTTATCAGGGTTGGGGTCAAATACTTTGAAATGTAATTAATTACTTTCAAATACATTGATAATTTTGTCAATTACTTGCAATTACAATTACATTGATTTTTTCAAATGTAATTAATTACTCTCAATTACTTTGACAAATGTAATTAAATACATTTCAATTACTTAAGTTTTATTTTTAAAAAATCTTGAGAACAAATACATATATAAACGGCACTGAGATACACAAAGCATTATGTACTGAAATATTTTTACTGTTTTGAGTTCATTTTAATCATCATCAGATTTTCAAACACAGCATCACTCAAACGACATCTCAAATGACACGAAAAGAATTCATGTTTCGTTCTGAATAAGGTTTTTACTATAATGAACTTTTATTCAGTGTTTTTGTTCTTGGATATTAGAGGGGTTCACACCTGGACAAAATTACACCTCTACCTATTGCCCTGGGCAGTGTGACATGCTGTATAAACAAATTAAGCACTCTGAGACATTTAATTGTTGCACAAACACAAGCCCATGCCACTCAGGTATACTGAACTGTGTATCTTGAAAAGACACCTTTTTAAACTTACAAGTAATTGAAATGTAATTGAAAAGTAATTGAAAATACATGACATTTTTGGAATTGTATTTAAATACATTCAATTACTTGTAATTGAAGACTGGCTCAAATACAGATTACTTCCAATTACTTTAGAAAATGTAATTAATTACGCTCAATTACAAATACTAATTACAATTACCCCATCCCTGGGATTTATATTAATAAACTGTGTCATGCAGTCTCTTAATTTACAGTATTAACATGTAAAAGTGACCTGTAACAGTTACCTGTATACTAGTATATACATGTAGATCCTTGGCTTGTAAAGAGCTTTGAGTACCTTGACAATATACAGTCAAACCTCGTTATCTCAAACTCCATGGGACTGAGAAAAAACTTTGAGATATCCGAGGATTCGAGATATTGAGGGTAAAATACTTAAAGAATATGTGGTTGGGACATTCGGATCACTTCGACATATCCATGGTATTCGAGATATCGGTGTTCGAGATACTGAAGTTCAACTGTAGATGAAAAATTTGAGATCACAAGTTCAAGACATAAACAAATTAAGCTTTCATTGATGATTTTTAAATGTATTTTCATGTAGAATAAAAATGAGATATCCAATTCATTTCAGATTTCAAAAAAGCTACACACCATGTCCTCAACAGCATGATGGGATACATAGCATTACCCACAATTCTCCACAAAATCATGCAGGTTAGATTGATAGAACAGAAAAAAGATATTTAAATAAAAGGATACTCATAGATGTTAACAGCAAGAGAAATGTTATGCAGAAAAAAAGCATAGATAATCAGTGATAATTCTTAAGCATGTATTGAACCTGGTTCTATTAATCTACATGTATACTTACATGTTTCATGTTGTTGCATGTTTAAATTCTGTTTTCTGTTTATCATCTGGTTTATACATGTACATGTAGGTATAAAGTACTGTGAATGACTTTTCGTGTTTTGTATGAGTTTATTTTTGGAAGAAAGTGCAGGCAGCATTTACTAATAGGATATGATTTTTATGAGTTATCTATCAGAAATCTGTTTTCTCTCAGGATCCTGCCTATAGTACTGGAAAGTTTGGAGAAGTCAGGGAATTAATTCTAGGAATGCTGGAAACTTATAATTATGAGCAGGTGTGTATAAATTTGTTTTCAGCATAGTCGCCAATCACCCAATTTCGTTGGGTTACATCCGATTTTTCGACCCTTAACCTGATTATTTCTTATGACACGGAGGGTCATGCTTTTCACCAGATTTTTGCTGAACAACCTGAAAATCTCCCGATTTCCAGATTTGATTTGTAAATTAGTTCGCACATGTCATTTCCAGTTATTAACCCAAGTTTGGATCTGGTAAACAATGTCGATGGCTATGTACCGTAGGCTGTTTATCGGTAAATTATCAGTACGGGTGTTAACAATTATCTGGGAAATGTTTTCATAATATTTCATAATGTTTTCATTTTAATTCATTAAATATTCAAATTTGCAATTGCTTCTTTTCAATTAAATGATTCTAAATATACAGGTGCATATTGTACAATGTATATATATGCAAGGCTAATTGTATTCGGCGCGTCGGCGCGCCAGCGCGTCCATCTCAACCCGATATCACAAAAGTATTTTCTCCCTGCATTAAAACACTCAAATGACATCGATTTTCTTTATAATTTAAGCATTATCGGTTATATTCAAGTCGACAGCCCGAGCCCGATTGTATTTTTTTGTTGGGTGGATCCAGAAATTTTTCCCTAGGAGGTGTTGGCTCAAATCGCAAGGGGAAGAGGTCCAAGGCAAAGCTTTAGTAATTTTACTATGTCAGTTCAAATAAATTTGAATTTTCCAGGGATCCGGATCCCATTTGATCCATGCATGCCTTACCACAATTTGTGCTAGAGTAATCCGAAATACCCCAATTTTTTGAGTTGGCCTATACTTTCGATTTCTCTCTCTCTCTCTCTCTCTCTCTCTCTCTCTCTCTCCAAACATTAACTATATACATGTATAGCATTTAAAAATATTTAGTGCTTTGGTTTTTATAAATTTTCTTTATGTATAACAAAAATTTACCGGTATTACGTAATGACCCTAGACATTAACTATATACATGTATAGCATTTAAAAATATTTAGTGCTTTGGTTTTTATAAATTTTCTTTATGTATAATAAAAATTTACCTGTATTACGTAATGACCCTAGACTCTAGAGTTTAACCCCCTTTTTAGAGACTTGATTATCATGGCAATAAGCTGCAAAACATTGGTATCAGTGTTTGACAAATATTCCTTGTTACGTATTAAAATATTACTACTACTAAAAATTAGCTTGTTCTTTATTTGAGCAGGGGGAGTAACTTTAGTTACAGATACATAAAGTCCTGCCTCCCCATATTGTAGTCTTCTCAACCACTAAGCTCATTACAAATCCAATCATATAAAATACATCTACAATGGTTCCATCAACATTCCTTAAACATTAATTTTTTTTTTTTTTTTTTTTTTTGTTTGTTTGTTTGTTTGTTTTGCAGAGTGAAAATTAAAATAGAATTTGATGGTCATTAAAGTAAGAAGCATACCAAAAAGGTTTATGATGACCTGTGTTTACGAAATACTGAATCATTCGCTGATTGCACAAAAATTGATGCCAATGAAAATTGATAAAACTAGTGTATTAATTAGTGGATAAAAGAATATGAATAAAAGAAACAACAGGCGGTTAAATAATGGTATCAGGTTCGTTCGCCCTATCTACCTGTTCGCATGAATCCGTTCGCGCAGGGTCCGTTCGCCATTATTCTTGTTCACCCTATATCTCGTTCGCCCTATTATATATACAGTATATAGTAAATATCAACATTTATAATTAATTTTATTAAATATTTTACTTGGTGTTTTTTTCAAATGTTGCTACAGTATTTTTTTTTATTAACCGTAATCTTAATGAAGTAATTCAAATTTGATATTTATGCTCTTTACATGCTTAATTGATTTAATTATACTTAATAATGTCACTGTAATTTAGGGGATCATACAATCTGCGTTATGTTCAATTAAAGGACTGAGATGTTAATTTCTGTTGGTCTGCTGGGTCTTTGATTAGTACAGGTATAAATTACCGGTATAGTGTGACCACATGCATTCGTCTGTTGTCTCCCGTGTGCAATTTATGTACCAATGTACATATAATTTATTTAAAAAATCCATTGGTTAATTATTCAATTTCTGCAATATAAATAAGGCGAACGGACCCTGTGCAAACAAGTGATGTTGAAGCTTCAAAAACAAAATTCCATCTATAAAACTTTCTCTTTTTAGCCGAGCGCATTGCTCGTAGAGCAATAGCCGGTTTATGTTACGGTGTTCAACCGGAAATACTGCTTCCTCACCGCCAAATTAAATATGAGTAAGAATAAAGTACGTATGCTCAACCACCTTTGAAGCAATACAAACACTTAATTAAACAAATTTAATTTAACTAAGAAATTCTCTAAAAAAAAAAAAAAAAAAAAAAAAAAAAAAAAAATTGATAATATACTTTCTCCCCTTTTCTTCAATAAATTATTTGTTTAAAAGATGCGATAGGTAATTTCATCAAGTCTGCCAGCTTCACATTCTATAGATAAAGGTTGTGTTACCAGGCTAATGCGGGGAGCATGTGACCCGATGCACACCTTTATGCAAAACTCCCCGCTGAGGACCCGTCTGTGTATAAACGTTTGACCTTGCTGCATCAATGTAAATTCAAACTGCATTTTATTTTATTTTATCTTTTAAACATTTTTTTTATTTATACTATATGCCATAAATATATTTTTGTGTTACATATTCTTCCAGTGTCTTGTTGTTATTCATCTGTAATTACAATGTATGTTTCATGTAAAACGGACTTGTTCACTTCTCTGTAAATGAGCCCGGCTCTCTGTACTTCTCAGTACTTTGATTATTTATGATATCGAGCCCGATGCTAACAATATTGTATAAGCGATAATTTATTTTAAGCCATATGCAATATGAATGGAAAATATGTCGTGAATGTTGTTACAGATTTTGACCAGATTTTTCTCTTTCCAGAGAGGGTCATGACCCTCTCTTTCCAGAGAGGGTCATGACCCTCTTTTTATTACATGTTAGGGGTTGGCAAGTATGGTTTTCAGCACGATTTTCATCACGTAGACAAGGGAGTTAACCCTATAGAGATACAGGAAAATGAAAAGTTATTTATAGACTTGCTACTAGCATCTGGTAAAAGGATTGGTTTAACAAAGGGAGTAAATCTTAGGAATGCAGGAATTTTATTGCCTGACGCCACGTGCGTCAGGCACTGTAAGGATTAATTTTTCAGGGATCCGAAACAAAGCGATCATTCTTAACTAGATTTTATGCAAGCTGATTTACATCGGAATTTGTTACCTGCATTTAAACAAATACAGTTTGCAGAAGAAAGAATCATATAACTGATGCAAAATAATGAAGTGTTTAATTCCTTCAGTTTTTTTTGCATGCACATGTTTATTCTTTGCGATTCTTTGTACAGACATGTCCGTCTAACATTTTTTCTGCGTTTCTAAACTACTGGATCAGTCCATTTGCCTTCTACGAAAGGGGTGATACAATCGTTTCGCGCCAAATGTTACATGTAAATTATCTTCGCGCCTTTTTCTTGGGTTGTTTCAACTTTTAACATGATTCTTAAGCTCCAGATTTTTTATTGACAGTAAATTTTATCTCATTTTTTAAGAGAACACATTGAATATGGACAGGCAACACTAAAGCAATGGATCTGTAGATTATTCTTACTATTTATCCCATAAGTAGACTAGTCTAATCACAAACAAACTCCCTCCACCTAGTAAATGAGACATCCCTTCTTGATTCAGTCTGTTTTCCACTTAGCCTTTCTTTCAATATTACATAAATAATGTACGTTACAAGGTTAGGTTTTTAAAAAAGCTTAGAAAGTCAGCGAGTAGCATATTACTTCATGCTTTGTGATAAACAAGGGTTTCCTTTTAATACAGTGACAAGAGTGTAGGTCAGTATCGGTAGACATGGTAGAAGAATGGTCTTCACTCCCGTAAGGTTCTAAGTAAAGAATCGGTAAAATGAAGAAGACATCATGATCTCTACTGGTTTTCATTTCATAAAAAGCACGTCAGTTATTATAAATATGAGAAAGGTCCAGAAATCGATTGAAAAGGAAAAACAAAACAATTTCAAAACTGTAGGGGCAACTGGGGTAAGTGGACACATTAAAGGTTTAATTGGAGTCTGAAAACTTCTAATCTGAACTAATCTTTCTTGTAATATACTAAACTGATAGTTCACTCTTATCTCTTTGTAGTGTAAAATATTTCTCAACTTAATTCAAATGGTTTGAAATATATGGGCTAAAAAGTTAAATTTTAAAAAGTGTTCACTTACCCCATAGATTTGGGGTAAATGGACAGTGTTGAAAATTATGAAATAACAGTACACATTGTCTTTGAAGATACAATTACACATCCTTATATTATCGACAAAAAAGTTAAAATTAATGAATCTTTTTTTTCTTTTTTCAAAATTGAAATTAATTTTCTGAGATCGATCACTAACCGTTATCTTTACCCTTTTTCAATTATGAAAAATTTTGAAATGCATATATGTTTTTCTAACTTTAATGACATAAAATCATCGATATAATTCCAGTGACTCAAAACATCCAATATGTAAGGTATTTCACACAAGTAAACATTCTCCAACACACTAGAAAGTGGAAAACCAAATCAAAAAAATTATCAATGCTTGTCACATACAAAATGTTCTAGCTGGCGTCCATATTTTCCAGTGCAAGATTCGTGGTACCAATCATCACAACTAGTACATTTAACCCAGTCCTCATCATCTGAATCTTCATCATAATAGTACCCCCCACAGTAGGAGCAGCAATTAATGGTGTCAGTGTGAGAAGGGATATTTTCCTTTGACTTTGATGTAGTCTTCTTTGATTTACTTGTAGGCTTAATAAGCTGTTTCTTCAATTTTTCCATCTCTTTCTTTTGTTTCTTTTCTTCACGCTCTTTTTTTCTTATTTCTTTTTCCATCTGGTCTTTTTCTCTTTTTTCCTCCTTTTGTCTGATCTCATTGATGAATTCATTCTCTGTTACACATCTTGCACCAAGAACTTTCTTAGTTTTTCTTTGAGCTGGTTCTTTGACAACTGTTGGAAGTTGAAGTGCTTCTGTAATTTCTTCTGAGACTGACAAGGAGCTCCTTGGAACCTGGGTTGGTTGACCAATAGAGACTGCCATGTTCTCAGCTGATGCATTTCCCCCTCACTGGTAGTGCTGGTTACAGAAGCTAAGACAGAAGTTTTTGATGGCCCAAATGCCTCTGCAGGAATAGCCAGAGGGTTGAAGGGAAAAATACCTGTAGCTCTAAAACCTCCAAAGATATTTACCATATTCATTTTCTCATTATATGCATGAGAGAAAATTCCGCAAAAGTAATATCTGGATATTTGTCTGCCAGGATTTGATTTCAAAAATGATTCACAATGCTTGTAGTATGCCTTCTTTAAGGGCCCAAAAACACTTCTGTCCAGTGGCTGTGTCCAATGCGTTGTGTGAGGCGGCAAGCAGAATATTTCAACGTCATTTGTCTTCGCTGCTTCCAGAAGATGAAGTGTAATATGAGAGGCATGGCCATCTACTATCAGCAACACTGGTCTTTGAGGTGAGAGGTTGGACAAAAAAATCTTTTCAAACCATATTCCAAACAGTTCTCCATCAATAAATGAGCTTTTACTGCATGCAAACAGTGTGTTCTTTGGTGCACTGCTCATTAAAGCTTGACTGATTCTTTTTCCTTTGAAAATCACCATATGTGGCAAAACATGGGCCTCAGCATTTACACAACACAAAACTGTAATGTTTTCACCCCTTTCACCACTTGTTTTCGCATGAATGGCTTTCTTCCCCTTCCTCCCCACAATTTTTGATGTTTGATGAACTGTACTAAATCCTGTTTCATCTGCATTAAATATTTGCTGGGGTTTTGACTTTACATTGAGTTTATCCATAAGATCTCCTAGCTTGGTAAAATGGCCTGAAATTACATTTGGATTAAGCATAGTACCACGAGCAGCACTTAGACCTTCAGGTTTATGGAGAGATAAGCATGGGTGCCGGTCTCGAAATCCCTGCCACCAGTCATATCCTGCCATTTTCTTGTCTGCATTAAATGGATTTTTTCTTCCTGAGTGTGCAATAATTGAATATGCAAGCTTACATACATCTGATATTGTCAAACCAAACCCACGTTCCTCCATCTCCAAAATGTGACTAACAAGAGAGTTTTCTTCCTCTTTAGACAGAGTGGTTGGTTTTGATGCTGGAGACTCCAAATCCATTGCTGAAAGTCTCCTCAACAGGGTTGTTCTTGGAATGCCAAATATCTTAGAAGCTTTAAACTTGGTCATTTTCCCCGTTTTAACACACTGAACAGCTTTACTTAAAGATTTTCTGTCCCATTTTCCTTGTTTGGGCACCCAGTCTTTTTTCTTTCTGGCCATTTTACAATGTTTTCCGTTTCTGAAATTAAAAAAAATTATTTTAGTTACATAAAAACCCAAAATCTCTGTGCAAGAAAATATTTACCATCAGAGATACCTTTACTTTTCTTTTTTTTTTTTTTTTAATTTAATTTGCAATTATTTAAATTTATGTTACAGAAAATCAATTTATGTATTATTTTCATGATTAGAAATATCATTTAAAAATTAATTTGATACATTAAACTAAGATTTATACCGATACAATTCAAACTGAATATCTAAAGATTAAACCTGAGACTGCTGTTTAAATAACATTGTCACGGTTTTGCACTGTCCACTTCCCCCAACAAACTTGGGGTAAGTGGTCACAATATGACATTTTGACATTTTTAAATTAATCTAATCAATTATTCTAACCAAATAAATATTTGTGTTTGCAAATTATTAATTTCGAAGAGTATGTTGCCATTCATTACATATTTTTTTTTTTAATAAATCTTGAAAATTGTAATAAATCCATGAAGGACACAACGTAATTTTTTTCATTATCACGTGACCTTTCTAAAGGGTAAACGTAAAAAGAAAGCTTACAATTTTCCCTTCCACTTGAACAACAAAACATAATAATGTGTAAATTAATATAATATTTGAAAAACTAGTATCTAATTATTATCAAATATCAACGCCTCTAACGGACTGAACTTGAATATTTTATTATCAATACACAAGCTTTTATTATGTTTGTTTACAGATTTTTCAAAGGGTAGCCATTTTTTATGTGAAGATTATATATTGTTTACATGAATGATGCGATAAAAATAATATAAACTGCAAAAATACATCAATGTAAACACTCCAGACTTAAAACTGATGCGTCATTGTATAGATTGAAAACAAGTTCTTTTGCTTAAAGGCGAACAGTTTTTATTTAAACAATGGTTAATCTCTGCAGTATTTATGACAATACTAAGAAAATGGCTCTGTGCAGTTTACTTACGGATCGAGTCACAGTTTTCTCCTTTTTTCAATCGAAGTCGTTGACCTTGAATTTTCCCTGTCTTTGATGTTAACACATTTGCTTCCTCCTTTACAACGAGAGCTGAACAGGTTTGATAACTCTTGTTTGCTTTAATTTTTAAGCAATTTTTTAAAAATGTGTCCACATACCCCGAGTGTCCACTTACCCCAATTGCCCCTATATAAAAATGTATTTTTAAACTCATTTATAATACATGTATATGGTAAGACCATCATCGCCTGAGTTTTGTCCGGGGGGGGGGGGGGGGGGGTGTATTAGTATCTTGTTTTGCGCTAGCTATATATAAAGTGTAAAGGTCATTTATTTTGATTTCTAGAGCAGCATTTAAGCATTTTAGTCTCAAACACTTCAAGACAACAGTTAAAACTGTTCATAATTTATTTCGTCGTCAAGAACGACGGAAAACAGACCAGTCTATTTAAATAGATGCCGTCTCGTCAATCTATCACTGACCAGGGAAGCGCGCCCTCTAGTAAGAGAGTACATGAAATATGAATTTCTTTAAAACGAATCATCTAACTGTTTTTCCCAGAATTATCAGTGGCGGATCCAGGAATTTCATAACGGGAGGGCGCAGTAAAAGACAGGGGATCAGGGGGCTGTATTGAAACCCCAGTGGGTCCAGGGCAAAGCCCTGATGGGGGTTCGGGGGCGAAGACCCCGGAAGCTGACGAATTCTTACAAAGAAGAGGTGTTTTTTCCTTGATTTTAGGAAAATGATCATATAAGTTCTACATACAAAAAATTCAAACGGGGGGGGGGGGGGGGGGGGGGGGGCGCAAGCCCGGCGCGCCGGTGCTGGATCCGCCTTTGATTATAATCTACGCTAGCGCACTTGCAATTTCATCCCAACGTAACTAGTCAGCCCGTGGGCTAACTAATAAATGACCATCCAGTGGCATGTCTTAGATATTCGTTAATCTGTAGTATTTGGTTATGACATTCAGACATTTATGAAAGTCAACTGTACATCTTGTGTAATGATGTATCGCAACTATGTCGCTCCTTGATGACGGAAACGTTTAGCACCTCTCTTGCATATACGTTCCATAGATATTGATTGATTAGTCAGGCAAGCTTTTTGAAAAGCTATTACTTGTAATATTTAACAGTTAATGATATTTATGAAATTGCCTCCAGTATGTTGTTCAGAGTTTAAAATGATTAGTTAAACAAAGGGATTTATTGTAATGATATAGAAAATCTGGTTCAGCTGTTAAAAATGGATTAGTCAAAATAATATTGATGAGCCAGTGTATCTACTCTCTCTTTGTTCCCTTGTAAATACATGTAAAACAAAGAACCAGCATATCAGCTTATGAGGAATGGCCATATACAATAGGTAAAAAGATTTCCCATTCACCTTATAAGCTATTTGCTATAATCTGCAACCTCACTTTTCTTAATAATAATTGAAAAAATAAGACTTTTTAGTCTTTATGGTCCAGGAAGCATCCAGAGGTGTCATACATTATAATATGTTTAGAACTGTACTCTTATCAGATATAATTATTACAGGTACAATGGAGCCATGTTCAACTCTCCTGCAGTGGTCTGTTTTATTGGTTAGTGAGCACTGTTAATAGTTTTGTATTATTTCAGACACTGATGGAGACTTGTAAGAATTTATTGAACCATGATATCCATGTCCATTTGAAGAATTTAACATCAGCGGCCACCAAAGGCTACATTCCTAAAGGAGACAGCTGTAATCTGTGTAGTAAACAGTTTATTAATCAGAACGAGATGGATACTGTGATTATATTCAGGTAGTACTGGTAGAGAATCTTTTTTACAAGAGATATTAATTATTTTTGTATGGAAATGAATCACATTTAATATTTATATTCTATATAGTTATATATATATATAGTTCTGGTATACAGATACTGTTTGTCTTGTTTGGGCATTCATTCACTATGATAACTACATGCATGGTACAATTGATATACAGCAAAGGAACACTAACCATAGGAAAATAATGATTGTTTACTAGCTTGATTTGGTTACTTTATGTCTTGGTAGTTTTTTTTTTTTTAATATCTGTCTTGTGTAAAATGATGGTTATACTTATTCATCTAAAATATACCACCACAACATTGAACATGCTATGTAATTCTATGATTTATCAATGTACATTTGTTGTGTCCACTATTGAAATAAGAACTACAACTGAAATAATTATTGCAATAGTCGCTGAGAATGCATTTCAGACATGTACATTGTATGTCAGTTTGTAAAATGTGAACATTTCAGATGTGGTCATAGTTACCATAAGGGCTGTCTACAGTCCATTGGTTCTGTTAGTGTAATTGATGGAGAGGATTCCTGGATCTGTTATCTGTGTAGCCACAGGAAACGAGGACAGTTCCAGAGTACCAGATTTCACCGCAGTCTTAGTAACAGGGGACAATCCAAGGGCAAAGATGTTAGTACATAATATATGTATTCTTAATTTATCTTTATGCCCCTTTAATCGGAGATTCTGGAGCATATAGTTTTTGGTTTGTCTGTTAATCTGTTTGTCCACAAAAACTTTAACTTTGTTCATAACTTTTGAACAGTTGGGGGGGGGGGATTCATATTTTGACCTCATGACCTTGACCATGGAGTTGACCCAGTTTTATAAAATTTTAACACACTTTTAGCTAGGCCATAACTTTTGAAGATTGGTTCTAGGGCTTTTATATTTCATGTGTATTCCTTTTGACAAGACGTTTCTTTGATTACCAATATCTTTGACCTCCTGACCTTGGAGTTTGACCTACTTTTGAAAAACTTTAATTTTGTCCATGAGCTGCCATAAGAGGGAATCAGTGTTTCACAAAAACATATTGTTTTTTTTTTAACATAAACATGATGTTTGCTGTATAGTGAAGAGATTTCCTAGTATGGAACATGTATATGGAAAAATTCCCCTCAACCAACCATTTCAGTGGATGAATATAAAACTGGGTGGATTCAAATGAGACAGAGTTACCTCTCTTTTAACATAACTGCATCGGATCAACTTTTTTAAAAAAAAAATGCAAAAAGTGTTATCACCTGTGTAATAATGCAAAAACAATGGGCAAAAATTGTCCTTTATACAGTATTCCTGATATGAGTCAGAAAATTAATTGCATGTTGTATTTGCTCTATTTTCATTAGAAAATTGCTGCAGATCCTCAGTACTATCAGACTCTAGACTTTATGAAGAGCTTTTTAAAGACTCCATCAAGGGTTTGTTCATTTTCTGCTTTTCTTTCCATTTTCTTCTGTTTGTCTTTCATTAATTACCAATTTTTAAATTAAGGAATTCAAAACTAAGCAAAAAAAAAAAAAAAAAAAAAAAAAGATTTCATTTTCTCCTTTGTTAAATAATGAAGACAAAATTATTTAGCTTGGTCATTTTTGCATTTGTGATAATGAAATACCCAAAAGATTATGATTGCAGTTTTCACAAAAATAAAACAGGATACATATGTAATCACTAACAGCTGAAATTCCTCTGTACTGTAGATGGCCCTTCTTACTGAACTGTCTAAAGGATCCTCGCCCAAGTCCCACAGAGGATCATCTAGTATCTTCAATCAAGAAAACTTCCAGCTCAAATTAGCACCACCTCCAGCAATGGATTCTGTGCCATAGACACTGACAGTTTATTGTGTGTGTGATAGTAAAAGAGTGCATTTATGTGCAATATACAAATGTTTTAATGTTGTGAAATAATTCTTATTTCATTTATGTCCAACTGTTACCATGTACAATGTATATATAAATAGTGTACATTTTCACAAAAATCACTCAATACATTAGATACAAGTAAAATAGTAATTACTGGGACTTGTTTTTTGGTTGGTGTTTTTGTAACACATAGAAAATAGTCATTGAATTTGAGTTCATAAAGTGATAAGATCCGTAACTGTGTATATTTCATCAGGGAAAAAAAATTGGTTGAGTATTTTTGGCTGAAAACGTTGATGTCTTGCCTACACCTTAGTTTAGGTCTTGTTCCAGAATTCATTTTAAGTTTCTTGTCAGCAAGAGCAATATCATGTATAGGTTACATGTTTTGTTCCCTGGACCCTCAGAAATTTGTCAATGAAAACTTCTAAGAGCTGCATGTCCCTGCATACGCAAGAAATTCCTTGGGGGCATTATTTGATATTTCTTCGCAGTGATATTGAAAAAGACCAAGATACTTAAGGGCTTTGGTCTAGAAATTAGAAACCAAAATGACTGATGGAACTTCTTCATAGCTAAATGAGGTACATTGCAAAAAGGGTAAGGATACAACTTGTCATGATTTGAGGAAAAAATATTGGTTTGTGGGGATTTTATTTCGTATTTGAGAGTGTTGATGTATTTTGAAATTTTACATGAAATTGTGGGCCTATTCATACCACAAAAACAACGAAAATTATCCCCCCCCCCAAAAAAAAAATTTACTGATTTTACAGTATATTGTTTACAGCACTCCTCCGCAACATTGCCATAAAAAGGAATCTTTCTTCATAAAATAAGAAAATATATCTGCACACTAAAAACGAAATTTATTGCATACATATTGAAACTGGTACAACAAAATCATATTCTTTCTACAAGCACACCCTGTCCAATCCTTGGCAACTTAAAACACCCTGTATACATGAAGCAACTTTCTAACAGGTGGATCCAACGGGAGTGGGTATACATATTACGTCTTATTGCTATTCTAAAGACAGACTGCTCTCAAAACAGAGGTTATTGTCAAGATCCTTTACTGAACAAGGCTTCTCAAGAAATATCTAGTACATAAACTGTTTACAGAATGAAATGTCAAAGGATTGAACAGGCATGCAGGAACTAAATTTTTAATAACTAATGTGGATATATCATTTTCCTGGCTGGAAGTGATTTGGATCAGCTGTTTTTGAATGATTACAGTAAAAATATCATAAGGTCTACCTAATCTAAAAAGATCATATATTTTGACATGTACACTGCAATGAATATACAATTTTTTTATTAGCTATAGACATGCTCAGATTTACGAGCACTATGTAAAAACTAAGATACCATTGTACAAAAAACGTGTATACATGTAAACCATTTCCACTGTAAAGCTGAAAACACTAGGTACAGATTTATATGTATATAAAAGCACACACACCTCACACACATGTAACACGTACTCATGCACATGAGATAATAGCACCCAGTTGTAGAACTCTTCCTGCTGGGTTGAACCAGCCATTTGGAGTTCTATGATTTAATAAAAACGGTAAAAAATAGCTAAACTTTCCGACATTGTATATTTCAAATACAGCAGTGATTCGGCAAGAGACCAAGTACAAATTTGTTAATGGAGAGAGCTCAAAAAGCCCAATGAAATCGGATCAAAAAAAGTAATCACAGCTCAAATATTTTAATAGATTTTTGTTCAAAGGAATACTCTATAATATCACATGATAAATGAATTTACAAAAAAGGTTCATTTCAATCATAAATCATAGCTACCATAGGAAACGTAAAATAAAGAGGTCTGGTAGAGGAAACTGAAAATTTTACTTCCAACATTTACGAACACTTTTGATGAAGGTAAAATATGTATTAATTTGAATCTGCCAATGTTTGTCTTAAAACTTCAGTAAATCATTTATGATGTGTCCTTAAATGTTCAAATGCCCAGAGTCAATACATTTTTGCCAACACTGACCAAAATGCCTCAGCTATTAATGAAATGTTCTTAACATGCAATACCAGTGTGGTTTAATATATCGTGAGGATTAGAAAGGTAACGAGGGAGAAAAACAGCAATAAATATTTAGGACAACCTTAGCACAACTTAATTATTTCACACCCAGTGTATACAACTGATATATGTACACAACAACTAATGGCATAATATATAATAAAATACACTGTACAATGCAGAAATCTAGGACAACATGTATAAAATATTTACAAAATAGGTTCAGCAGTGAAATGCTATGATATAATAATGATTTCATTTAAATACCGGTATTGAAAAATAAGTTAACCAGGGAGATGGGGGGAAAAAATAATACAGATCATTTTTCAGTTGAATTTCAAATAATTTTTTTTTTACAAACGAGTAGAATACAACCCACAGAGAGAACAACCACTGTATTAGAGATACAATCAACAATAATAACAATAGAATTTTCAGCACAGTTGTATGAGGATTACATTTTTAACAGTATGTAAAAAGGTTATATCTACAAAATAGCTCGCTCCATAAAACAAAAAAACTACAGAAAAACAATTACCCGATCAAAAACAACAAAGTCTGTATGCCAACATCAGCACTTGTTGTGGAAGACACTGTGGTCTATACCAGTTTAACAGTTCGTGTAAACATTCTGTACAAAACTACCAACTTGTCATAGGTTTAACAACAGCAAACATACTATAATGCAGTTGCATAATGATTCATGATATGATCACATTGACATGCATATTATGTCACGGTAATTTCTTTACACAGTAAGTACTTGGTTTGATATTCATAAGATTATAAACACATGTTACTACTGCCTTCCTATTTCAGCAGTATACATATTTATATATTTACTACTTAAAAATAAAGTGGGTTTGCATTTGGGTAAAACTTTAAAAAAAACATTCACCATTCGAATATACTTTCTAATGCATATAAAAATATACATATGTAACCATGGTAACACAAACACAATATCAAGACACTCAATATCCTTGTATGGAAAACAACCTCTTCTTTTCTCTTTGTTAAAATCCTAATGGACGTCAGAGTTTGTGAAGTTTTTTTTATTCCACTTGCATGTGCAGTACAGATCCTTGACTTTGAATAAATAATATCTTGCAGCACAACACAATATACAGATAAAGCTATCTAAGCACTGACCATATATGTAAACTTCATCAGATCAATGACAATAATGGTTAGAAAATCAAAGACCAATGAAAATTCAATCTTTCTTCCCTTGGCCAATCATAACCTTTGTTACAAAATTGACAATAGCAGATGCTGGCTGACCAGGGTCTAGTTCTGCAAACAGATGACAGGTATTGTCAGTTCCACCACTTTGTTTCTTTGCCACAAATCCAAATATTCTGAAAGATATACATGAATCTCTAGATTCTCTTAATCCATTATTTAATAAGATCTGTTCAAGATAGTTTGAGAGTATAAAAGTGTAAAAACCTTTTTTATAACTATTATTTTCAATTAAATAAAATTAATTCAGAAAAATGATGAACTAATTGCAGGATTATTAGTATTATGCTTGTTTCCACAATTTATTCAAGCTGTAATTTTAAATTCTGCAACTTGTTGTCATTAACCCAACTCACTGTTTTCCCTCTGGGTCCATCCCACAGTATGTGACAGATGATACAGGGTAATGTCTTCTAAAGAAGAGTCTGAAAAAAAAAAATACATTTACATATAAGTAATGGAACTTGTGGTTGCATCACAAAAAATGTAAGCTTGCAGGTTTGCCAAATTTGTAGTATCAATTGGCTGTGCTTTAAAGGTCTGATGAAACTTTTCTCAAATATCTCTCAGTAACATACCAAAAATACTCGGTGTTTATAATTATTATTATCTTGTGATTTCTAAACTGTTTCCAAAATGTCTTCAAAATAATTACACCAAAAATTGTGATATCAACAATTCAAGTGATATCCAAAAGGATTATATAGTAAATACCATCCTCTTGTATCTTGCACACAAATGCCTGGTAATGTACCTATTTTTTATTGTGAGAAAACTTGTTAAAACAGCAATACTTCGATCACAAGTTCTTTGGAAAATTATATATTAATGAGGAATGTGTCATTTGGCTTTGGGGCCATAAAACTTAGACAAGCTCACTTTTGATCTCAGTCTCACTTTTACCAAAGGTATCAATAATAGAAAAGTGAGACTGAGATCAAAAGTTAGCTCATCTAAGTTTTATGGCCCCAGTCAAACCTCGTTATCTCGAACTAGATGGGACCGAGATAAAACTTCGAGATATCCCAAGATTCGAGATATCGAGGGTAAAATACTTAAAAGAATAAGTAGTTGGGACTTCCAAATCACTTTGACATATCCATGGTATTTGAGTTATCAGTGTTCGAGATACCAAAGTTCAACTGTATTATTATCTTGTGATTTCTAAACTGTTTTCAAAATGTCTTCAAAATAAACCAAAAATTATGACATCAACAATTCAACTGATATCCAATAGGATTATATAGGAAATATCATCCTCTTGTATCTTGCACACAAATGCCTGGTAATGTATCTATATTTGCGAGAAAACTTGTTAAAGCAGCAATACTTCAATTTCAGGCTCTTGGGAAAAATTATATACTAGTATTACTGAGGAATGTGTCATCTGATCTTTAAGAACAAGTCCTCAACAATAGAAAGCATGAGGGAGATAACGGCCCAATGTACGTCAGAAACTTACTTCCGCTGGTTGTCCGTGAGAGTGATACCCTGATTAGAGACTTTGAAATGAACAACTGTCTGCTTTGGTTTGTGATTTCCATCAAACGTCTGCTTGATTGCCTTGGCAACAGCCTGGGGCCCAGTAAGGGACTCAGTGTCCACAGAGTTCAGGTAGAGAACATTGCAGGCTAGAAACAAAAATTCATTTTTATGCTTGAAATTCGTAACTCGACATAGCCAATAGAATACCTAAGAATCCATATGTCAAACTCTTATAAGACATCCTAAAATATTACTCTACTACAAAAATATTTTTCATGGTTATTTGTTTGCTTTTTTGTAAAACTGTACAATTAGAGAGACACAAGTAAAATACTGACAAAAAAAAGTAAAAATATACAAGCAAAAATGGGTA